CTAACAACATTTCACACTTACTCATTCATTACTTCATTAGGCTGATTCTAACCTAAACGTTAAACGATTTTGTGAACTCTATGGTATGGTAGATACCTGTACTGCTTTAAGGAAATGACCTCATTTTTATTGTGCTGGCATAAACTAACAGATTGTATGTCAAGGTCATAAAACGTGATGTCATCAACTTTAAGCAGTATTTTCGCAGTTCCCTTCTGATCTGAATACATAGTTAGTTCAGCTGTTGATATTTTAACCAGATTGAAATTCGCAAAAGCTATCGGAATAATTTTCTGTCACTAGATTCTGATAATGTTCTTTGTTATTTTTTTCCTGATCCTGATTTACATTATACAGGTACCTAACTATTTTTTGAGATTCATTACGTTTTATTTTGTTTGTAGCCAATAACTTCTTTGGAATGTTATCTGGGTATTGATTGAGACATCGGGTCAATCGTCTACTTCAAAGAAAATGTAGCATTTAGCGTTTTAATTGTTAGTTAACAGTTTGTCAATAACGACAAAAGTCATTAAATACTGTCTGCATTGATTTCTCTCGTCCAACAATAGACCTAGCGCATCGAATTTAGAAGTCAAGTGATCGCCTACGAAACTACCATATCGAGCGGCGCATCTCAATTCACTCAATCGAGTTTAATTGGCTCATTAGGAGCACTGCTTGACGGTCGCTGTTTCTAGGCCGATATACCTCTCGGTGCACCAGATATCACGGCCATGTTTATGGGCTTCATAGTTCATTTTAATTCGACAATTTTACTTAACAGAAAACAACTGGCTGACATTACATGGTGGATGCGACAAAAAAGATTGACAGACACAAACCCAAATAGCTTTTATCAGTTTCCAAAACAGCGTTTAATACGAGTAATTACAGCCAATTAACTATGTTCCAAACCAATCAACAGCAGACGCCAAATGCTATTCTCTCAATTTCGATCTTGATTCCTAAACTTTCTATCACCATCCATTTTACTGGAAAATTTATTTTGAAGTTAACTAATCTCGTTTACTTGTTCTTGTTTGTTTTTCTAATGGCTTTTTAATTTTATTATTTTTTTTGTTATCTATTTGTAGTTATTATCTGTATGTTTATGGATGACGTTTGCTTGTTGCAGGGAGGCAAAGTGCACAGTCGTTGCGCAGGATGCCGATCGCGCCGCGCGGCCCTCCGCCTGTTTCGACGCCGCCTTACCACCAGCTCCGTAGGAGACCCACGTTAACCCTCAAGTGTCCTTCTATAATATAACGTCTAACTTTTATACGCCTCTTTTATACCGACCCATAAGTATAAGTACGCACAGTGTTAGTGTTTTAAGTGTCGCGCTCTAGTGGAGTGTATATGTGTGTCGATGGTGCGGCCGACATGGGAAAATCCTCGGCGAGAACACATGGCCAAGGTGAGTGTTGCCCGCAGCCGAACTGTCTTCAGGACACCTGTCCTCAAGGCCTTCCATTCGCTAGTACTCACACTAAACAACCACGGCCACCACTTGACCTTGCCGACGGTTACATATTTTATTTATTATTGTAATAGTTGTAGCAGCTGTACGGAATTTGGGCTTTTCAGGCGAACTCCTAACATGTTGCGATATACATTTGAAGACTTAATCGATGGCCTAGTGGTTAATGCCAGGTCAACGCTTGCTACAACGTTAGCGGGATCAAAATCCTGCTGGTTCAAATGATACTGTGATAATGAGTTTTTTTTAAATTTGGACAGATACACATTCATTGTACATAAGTAAATTATGTCAGTGTTTATCTAATTAAGTAATAATGTTTACCTAGTAGCCCGACACCCCAAAGATAAAGTTCTTTTTAGTTTGATTCTGGGTAATTGATAGATGCAATATTAAAATTGATTGTAAACAATGTCTCGTTCCATCATACATCACATTTTTGCCTCATGATGAGATTTATCATGGGTAAGATTTGTGTCCACATGGAGATATTTGACATAGAGCCCCATAACAGAAAACGCTACGCATTTGCAAAGTGCAAACACAAAGTACATATTGTTGTGACTACATAATACATTATGCTCGTAATGTTTTTATGGGAGGTTAGTGTTCCACTTGACTTCCACACTGAATTTCGGTGTTGATCAGTATCAATAAAGAATCGAACATCTATTTGTTACGTGTATTAAGAGCGCATTTATTATTCATGTAGTTATTTCATAGCGTCATCATGAAACCCCATTCAATAAGCAGGAATAATCGCTTGAGGACGATTCCGATAGTCCCTGTAAATTATCATCATCATTTCAGCTTCAGCCCTATGACTTCCACTGCTGAACATAGGCCTCCCCCAATGAATCGTTTGTCCGAGGTAGACATACTTGTCAACAATCTGAAACTGGATAGGACGCAGCATGGACTTTCGACATAAGATTTGTTTTCTCACTTCACTTCATTAACAGATCTATTATAAATCAGCATTAGTGTAATTGAAATTAATTAATCAACTGAATTACGGTAGAATACGAAATATCGTGTCGTTAATTAATTATGTAACATCACTCATAATAAACCACAAAAGCTCGCTGAAAAGTATTCTGATTTTGTTAAGGAGAGATCTATTTGTTATTTATTATTTCGCTATATTCAATTAAACGTCGATAAGTGAATACGTGGCCAAAGAATAGATCACCGATCAATACGAGTAATTGTGGGTGTCATGTAAACTTTTTAATTGACAGAAGATCAATTAAAAATATTCTCGAATGAATACCAAATCATCGGGGCGTGGTGGACCTATTCTGAATTTTATAACAAACAACCCCAAAACGTAAAAATGATAAATTAATCGGGTGTTTTCCCGTTACGTGACTCTACCGTTCCTTAGTAGGTACTAGGTAGATATGTTTTATAATATTTTTCACGACTTCTATCGTAATTCGGAAAACCAGGACGCGACCTGCTTTCGTCAATTACTTTGTCTGCGTACTACTGATGCTGTTGTTTTCATTTGTGCTACTTTTGACGCAGTTGTGAACTTAATTCATTTTATTTGATAAAATTACTGAAGTTCAACAAAAACAAGTTAGAAGACAACAGTATAACACCATTGTTTACAGTGGCATTCATTAGACAGGTAAATGTTAAGCTTCTTGCCCTTCTCTTCATAAAAACTGATCTTGTTTGCAATTTTCAGTATTTTTTTTATTTAATTGTAATAAAAAAATCTATAGTGTAGTTTAACGAGTCTACCAGTCAATAAAAGCTACAAGTTATTGGACGTAAAACTTGTACTTTATTATGATTACTTTAAAGGCAATATTGCAATAGATCGCTTTTATCTCCATCATTTCTATTTCAATTCAATAGTAGGAAATTCTGTCCAATTACTGGAAGTTTTCCCTATTTATACAAGTATAATATTTAGGTTTATTACCAATCTACTCATACTGCGTAGATTGTTAACGTCCAAAAAACCCTGTTAGGTACACCCTGTTTTCCATAAAACAACAAATAAACTAGGGTAATAATGGTTGAATTACAGTATTCACTGGATTACAATACCTAATACGTGTTTTGCAAAACAAAAAACGTTATTTAGATGTAATCTACGCGTATAAATAAAACTATTGATCGTCTTACTGCCTGCGGTTACGCTTGTATTCCAGCTTGTATTGTAACTTTGTAAGACATGCAAACTCATTTATCTTTTTGATGCTTATGGTTAAACCAAGTGGAATCGGGAAATGCATGTTGTCTTATTGCCATACAATTGTGTAATTCGGTTTTCTATACTATTTCTTTAACTTGTTGCCATTTTCTACCATTTAACTTTCTTCACAAGAGGTAAAGAAAGGTATGTCGTTTTTAAACACAATGAGAGCCACTTGTACTTCCTAGGGGTCATTTCGAATAACAAGTGGGTTTGTAGATCATTAAGTATTTGAGAAATTCTTTAGAAATGTGTTACTATAAGAGTTTGTGAGCGCAGTTTGTATGAGTGTTAAAACACGTCCACTTGTAAAAGCGTTTAAGTGGGTAACTCTCCAAACTTTTTTGAACCACTGAAATCTACGGACTTTAAGATTTGACGTTGTTAAAATTAAATTAATTTATATTCTGCAGTGTCAAGTTTATTGTCGTGAAAGCATTTACCTAATATCTTAAACGCATAAAATGCCGCGATTTAGTGTTTTAGTGATACATCTACTTGTAAGAGTAGCGTCAGTAGCGTTGAGAGAGGAGGAAAGCAATTAAGATCGATGCTAAGTCACAAGTAAGAAGCCGGCTTCAATAACATTACATTACATTAGTTAGACTATAGACTTGTGACTGACAAGACTTTTGGTCAACCAAAAACCACTAAATATAAGGTGCGCTACATGCAAAAGTTTTAGTTTAAACTCAGTTTCATAGCATTAAGGTTACCCAAAGTGTAGAGGGAATGCAATTATTTCAAGCAGGTCAAATCAAAAATTCCCCCATTGGATGATTTTATCGTTAAATCAAATTGATGACAAGTAGAACATAATAAGATTATTTCTACTAGAAACTTTCTGGAGGACCTGAGGTAATCCACGTAGAGCGATGAACAAGACTTATGTTCTTAGTTAAATAGAGTAGACTGTAATATTTAGTTAGTCAGATAAAGATTTGCATTATACGAATTAAGGTGTAGGTAGAGCTTAGGGCTTAGAGAAGATATTAATATTTTAATAATCTACTAAGCTGTAGATTTTCAGTCTGTATTTCAGACTCATGTTCGTTGATGTTATCGTAGCGGCTCTACATCTCGATTTTTTTCTACGATTACCTATTATTCTCATTGTGCCGGCAACACCGGGCAAACGATTGATGGGTGCGCGCGCACTCTGGCGGCGCTAGTGTGTACGGCACACGAGTCTCGGCCCCGCGGCGGGTCGGATCGCGCGTCGGGCGTTCGTAGTGCCGCGGGCTTGGGGCGGCCGGAGTCGCAGCCGGCGGAGTGGCCGCGCGAGGCGGCGCGCGGCATGGGGCGGCGGTAGCGGCGCGGATGTGCGCTCGCTCCGAGGCCGTCGAGCTCGAGGTGCTGGGCGCCGAGGGCGGCGAGGCTCGGGTGCCGCCGCGCCCCCTGCGCCTCTCGCTCCTCGAGCTGCTCGGCAAGCTGGTGCGACGCGACCAGCCCGCACAGCCGAACCGCCGCGCCAGGCACAACCATCGCTTCCGCACCTTCGTCTCGTGCGGTCGGTATCGATTCTACGCGCCATCTCCGTTCTCGACCAAAATAATGGCTCTATCTTACATTTGCGTCGTTGTGGACGCTCGATACAAATTGTCCGAGTAAAAATGTGACGAATTCCCCACCTTTTGCATGGGTTGCAGCGATGAACGTGACCGAAATGCCAAACATTTAACGTCTGTAATGGCGTGTGGGGGAGTTGAATGGGTGCTTTGTTGGTGTCGGAACTTTTTGGTTGGCATATATTGAGGAGGTATAATGGGGGTATACATCATATTGGCCAAGGTCGGAGTCGGCGCGCCCCCGCACGGTCAACGGCCGAGACGAGACGGCGCTGAAGCGCTTTGCGAATCGCCTCTGACTCCGCGCTGTTGTTATCGATTACCCGCCAATGTTTCGTTTCAACAAATTTAATTAAAGTAGAAACCTTTGGTTATGTTTTCTTTTCGTTGGGAAAATAGTGTTAGATACTAATACCCTTTACTAGACAACACAATGCGTATAAGGAAAAACCTATGTCTAGAAATGTCGGATATTATTATGTTGTGCGTATTTACGCATTTCATTTGTGTAGTCATGCAAACGAGTAGAGGTAGAATGACGATCTACGACGTTCAATACAACGCTTGAGTGTTATTGTTGTAACTAAGATTATTTTTATAATATTCTTCTATCCTTATTATGGATATCTACAAGTAAGTCAAATTTTTCAGCTGAAAATTAATCAAATGATCTAAACAGTTTTCTTCAAGCGGGAAAATAATCGATTTTACAGGATTACGAAACTTTAAAAAGTGCTATAGATCTTTAGATATTTGGCTTAATACAATTAAATATTAGCAGATAGTCCAGTATACGGTACATTTCCAACGAGAGATTTTCATAGAAAGTTGACCACTGATGTACATTTTTACTGAAAGCTATGCAGATTATGATAAGTACTGTTATCAGCAATCACTTTCACCTTATTAATAATATGATACTAACATTAATTACACCGTTTACACTAATTGAGATTAAATTATGCTGTTATGCAGCTACTGAACCCGCAATTTCAGCCGCTTTTACTTGCAATGATCATAAATATTATGAGAGACAGTCTTAAGTAGGCGTAAATGCATACTCAAACAATCAGATCATTTGTGTGACCAATTTGCATCAATTTATGAGCTTTACTACATCTCTACCTACTTTACATATTTTATATTAAAGTCCCTTTTGATGCGTTTGTTTGTTCTTCATATTATTTTGACTGTTACCTCATATCACGGTAATACTATCTATACAGTATTCCAACTCGGCCATATTTTTGAAATAAATGTCAACAGTCGCGCGGTACGTCACAGTATGACAACATGCGATAGGGCTGCCCACCAGTACCCAGTTTAATTACATCTGCCTTGTGATTGTACTTTTTTATTTAGTTAGACAAACAAAATACTTTGTGAATGGAATAGGTTAAAAATATGTGTTGTTTTGTGATTAGTAGATTTAATTTATTTAAAACTACGTAAATGTTTTTGAAACTTTAATAATCACAATGATCTGTTACGTTAATTTCGGGCGAGCGAAGTCGTGGGCAAAAGCTGGTTGACTAGTTTTTGAACAATTTGACCGTAAATGACGGTCACTCAAATTCAATCAGTTTTGTCATTTTTAACACTTGGCCACCGACGTCCATTCGGCACATTCGCGACACCCCCGACTTTTGCATACCGAGCGCATACCGAGATTTGAATTTCGAAAGAAAGTTCTCGTTTCGTCTGTTTATATGAAGTTACAATACTGTATGATATTATTACCGTGCTCATATTCATTGTTCGCACCATCTCTACATTATTTCAATTTGTAAATAAAGATAATTTTATCAAATGACTAGGGCAAATGTTAACTTATTTTTTCCAAGATTACCATAACCATTGTAAAGTTCTTTGGTACTGTAAATTTTCACAACATTTCATATTTTAGACGTCGCAATAGATTGTTTTGCATCATACAAATTAAAATACCGATATTTTTGTTTTTTATTCAAAATATCTATTTAGATATCTGTTGCATTCTAAAAAGACGTACCAAGTGAAGTCACGTCACAAGTTGTGACTCATATCATCGATGGAATGGGATGGGATAATTTGTTTGCCATCAAGGGATCAGCCATTTTACTAGACGTTCTATATAAAGTGACACTCTTTTACTATAATAGTAAGATGTAATTTCTAAATGCATAATGTGCTTAATGAATGACGTCTTTTGTATGTCAATCAATAAATGATTTCGTTCTATGAAAAAGAAGATACGATATTTTTGTGTCAAAGGGCTAATGAAGGTCTTCTAATTGTGTACTTTCTTTTGAAGTCAGTATCAAATTGTAAATAAGCGTTTACTTGTTCAAGGTATCGAATTAAAACTTAAAATAGACGAGTAGGTAATTACGCAGTGAATGTAGTTAGCTGGCCTCGATGGTTCTTATTTAAAAGCTACCTACAGTAATGTTCTGCAGCTCAAGAACCTCTTTTAACTAATGAAATTCAAACTATGTTTACTTCGTTTACTTAGCTACGTATATGTCCCTAAGGGTAAAGTTGGTAAAAGGGAACTGCCCTTGAAAATATGATAAACCTTATGCCGAAAGTAATCGATAGTCGTCCCTTAGGCGCCGGCGAGACTCAAGTGCCTCTTACCGCCTACCATACAAAACAAAGCATTCAATACAACAGGTTCTAAAATATTTTCATAACTTACACTATTGAAATGGCGGCATAGAATACTTTGTTTAAATTATAGACAGACGAAAACTATTGATACACTCATTTTATGGTGCGATACGGTTGTTAAGTTAGCTAGCACCTTATTTTCATTACTCGAAACTGACAATTATCGCTATGTTAATGACTATGCGAGTTCAGCTTAATTATACGTCAGTATTTCGTGTAAGTGACAAGTTAAAACCGTTGTCCATCAAATGTTATTGGTTTTAACTTTTAACAAACCAGCGAAGTGCGTGTCAGGCTACGCGCAGTTACGTAGTTTTGGGATATTGACTAAGTCAGTCAGTAGTCATTTTCTGTCTAATTATCAATAAAAATCAAGTCAGCTTTATGAGTAAGGTGACCCATCTCTCCCTGCCACTGACCCGGACTTGGTGAAAAAATAAGGGTTCGTTGTTTTTAATACGGAACCATGAAAAGAGTCGTTTTCCATTAACTCTTTGTAGGAACGAGCTTTTTCTTTTTCACGTTGTTTTTTTACCTACTAAAGAAGATAAAGCATAAGACATTGTTTTTGGACCCTAATCATCAACAAGCGAAACGGATAATTCTGCGATTATTTGGTTTTCTGGGGATTTTAATGTAATTGATAATTTGCTGCTGCATTTTGGCTCTATCAAACTAACCATAAAAGGCTTTTAATTTATAAAACGACATACTGCTGTAATTAAGGGTTTGTTTGATTGATTTAAGTATTCTGTAGTCGTGTATAAGTCACGTATTACATAACTTGCTTAGTCATTTATTGAAAAATACTTACTCAAAATATTTCTTGCATAGCATAGAGTTAAACTAATTTAAATTAAAATAGGTAGGAATAACTAACTTAAGGCCACCAAATCGTCAAAATAAATTATTGAAGAAGTTCTGTATTATGGGAAGACACTTGGAATAGGAAGTAGTTTCTTCTGTGACGATAATAAAGTTAAATATCTTTTAGAGTTCTTCAGCTCATTTATAAATCTTCCATGCCCGTAGCATGGCACGTTCGATTGAATGGAGTTACATTTGCTAACAAAAGCTGGTTTTAATGGCTTCCCCGATCTCGGCGAGAGCGGAGCGTGCATTTAACTTTACGATTAAATCACTCTCAAGTGCTCCAAGTGATGGATATTTAATAAGTTATTTCGAATACTTTTGGAAGTGTACTGAGATTTACTCGAATTGGAGTTGAAGTTATTGGGGCATTTTATTTAACAAAGTTACAGTTAATTGCCCGCGTTTTAAACCCTATAATAAAAATATTTTTGTGAAAGTCGATTGCATCTGTAAAATGGTTTTTCATCATATCAGTTTATGATTATGTACATAATTATTATCGTTTATTGATCACAACATAGTGATACATCTCTATTAATACATGAAGCTGTATAAATAAATTTTTGTCCTGATTAATTATCGGGTTATTCCGTATTCGACCCACGATAACTCAACCCACTCATTATTTTTTCCTTACTCAACCCAATTTTGTTCCTTACTCTACCCACAACCAATTTTTAATTTTATGTTCCTTATTCACCCCAAAAACATTCCTAGCTCAACCTATTTTAAAACCACTTAAAAAATATAAGATTTTTATGTACGGTCAGAATAAAAATATGTATTTTAGAAATTTAAGCTCAGTTAACTTTTGTGATCATTCTATTAAATAAAACTGCAGGAGTTCTGATACAATAATATATTTCAAAAACTTTTTCACAAAAGGACACAAATCAAATAATGACTAATTAGAATCTACTATAAATCCACTATAAATCTACTATAAATCAAACGACTGTGATTTTTTATTAAATCAGTATAACCAAGCTATGGCGTATAATTTTTTCCCCAGACACTTGTTCATGAATGTACAAATATTTCAAATAATACAATGTATTTTTTTTTTCAAGCGGTATGAGATGACAAAAGAAAAATAATAAAGTGTTCATGTGAACAGCCCGCAGTATAAGTTTTGAGCCTCTTAATTTGTTTTTGAATTTACCTTAAAATAAAATTAAATCTTTGATATATTTTAGTTAATCAACATACTCATATCTATCATTTTTTCATGTAGGTGATATTTTTTATTATTTTTTATTTAATTATAAATAAATGTACATACTAGTATGTATTTATCATTATTAAATTTCTGAAAATACAGTAAAAGTTTTTTGCTATCCATACTTATTTTTGGTATATTTACTTTGGGTTGAGTAAGGAATGCATTTGGGTAGAATAACGAAATTATGTAATAGGTTGAGTTAGGAATACTAATTTGGGATGAGTGAAGAAATGGGTTGAGTTGTCATGGGTCGAATACGGAATAACCCTAATTATCCGATTACACAGTCTAGCATCTATTGTCTTTCCCTAATAGATCAGATAATAATGATGATCATTAACTGATGAGATAACAGTTTATTTTATCAACTCGGAGCGTATAATCCGTAATCTAGATTCAAGTACATAGAGTATTGTTATGTTGGAAGTTAGCACTTAAACAACAGTTGTCCATTAATATACATGATATTCTACAATCTATTATTCTATCTTACATGCAAATAGGTCGCAGGAGCAATACAAATAAGGATTTATAGGGGTGCAAACACATGGGTTTATAGAAACTTTTAAATAAAATGAAACACGTTTTTACAACTTAATACAGTATTAGGCTGAGTTGCACCATCAACTTTGACCGTAATTTTGACGATAACCGGTGATTTTTGTATGGAGTTTGACAGATTTTTGACGTTTGTTAGTTAAAGAAATAATAATAATATGATTGTTTTAATGAAAACTGACTTTGTTTGTTTGTTGTTTCAGAGAATGAACGGAGAATCAAAGCCAATAACAGAGAGTACAACGCCCAGTTTCGCTATGCCGTAAGTTACTTTTATTTACAATATTATTCAAAAATACATAAAAATAGTATAATGAATTGGACGAGAAATTACTTACTTAGTTATTATTTAGTCAAGGCACAATATCTTATTAGTTTCTGAAACTTTCTGTTTCTGACAGTTTTTTTACCACAACGTCAGAAGAAAATCTGAGCTTATAATCGCTTGATATAATGCTGTAATCCATTGATATTAGGATTATATCAGAATTACGATCTAGATTATAAAACAATGTGCGATGTTAAGTACCATCCTTCGTAGAGAAGGAAGTGCCCGATACGGTCTAATGTTTTGTAATTTGACGCATGATTTGCCAGCTCTAATACAATGATGATTACGTAGCTACTGAGCAAAAATAATGCCATGACACTACGATAGGTACGTTAGCCCCAATGTTACATATTTAATTAAACTCACGGCCGTATAGGTCAAGCTATTTTTAACTGTGAGCACTAATTTCATATGACTTTGATGCTAAAACCTAAGGTTCTAATTATATCAGCAAGAATCCTTTCCGCTAGATTTTCCAATAATCTAATCCCTTGGTTACTAATAAATTACATCAGATAGAGTCTATCGTCGTCTGTAGGCAATCGCCCGACGCAAAGCTGCCTAAGCAAGCTAAGCCTATTACTTAGTTAACTGTCGATCACCAATTTGGTTGCTGCTGTAGGTATTACCAAAGAATAATTAATGTACTGGTATTACGCAGGCCGCTACCAACCGATCAACATGGAAATCTTTGGGGAAGGCCTATGTTCGGCAGTGGACGTCCTATGGCTGAAATGATGATGATGATGATGATTACGGACGACATCACATCAAGCTAAATACACAGTGGCGTACAGCGTTGTAACACAGGCTATTTTGCAACAAAAAAATATAAGTAGTCTGAGGGCTTAGTGTGAGTTTAAATCAAAAGTCGTCACTCGCTGTACAATCCATCATACATTTAATGTCATTTTTTTACGCGCTCACTAGTGACGACGTTTGATATAAACTCACTACGCCCCCTGATGTCTGTCGACTGTACTCGCATGAAAACTGACCGTGTGTCTTTTGTTTCAGAACAACTACATCAAGACATCGAAGTACTCGATCGTAACATTCCTGCCGCTGAATCTGCTCGAGCAGTTCCAGCGGCTGGCCAACTTCTATTTCTTGTGCCTGTTGGTGCTCCAGCTCATCCCGGCCATCTCCTCGCTGACGCCGATCACCACCGCCATACCACTCATCGGGGTACTCGCGTTGACTGCAGTCAAAGACGCCTACGACGATTTCGTAAGTCTGCTTTTGTCAGTCTGTTGAATTATACACTCAACATCAAATAAATCGCACCTCCCGCAACAAGCACTTTCAAACGGATGCATCCCCACTTCCCACCAATATTGGCACCATTTAAAAGCCTAGTTCTAAACTTCATTTCATTAAAGGAAAGGTTTTTACCCCAAAAATGTGTCTTTAGAAGGATCCAGAGTCACTTCTTCAAAAAATAGGCTATTACGCTTGAGCCAACTTTTATGGCTGTAAAACTGTTAAGTTGGGATTAATCGGTATGCATCTGTTAAAGAGGACACGTGTGATCATTATTTGGTTTTATAACCATAAAATTTGGTCTAATTGATCCCAGAGGTGAGCCCAAAGTGAGGTCTCTTTTCGAGTCACGTTTATGGTATATGATAATCATTTATTCAGAAATTAAATGTGTTTTTCTTTAAGGATATTTATTGGGCTTTTAAATAACACCAATATTGTTGGGGCACCATGATTGTGTCAGAAGAAAATCTTTTAAGTTCGCGTCGCGGAAGGAGCGGTTTATTTGATGTTGAGTGTAGTTTAAATATATTGTAAGTAGCTTTTCCGCGGTAAACTTTAAAGTCCAAAGTTACGGGGTTTAAAGTTTAGACCCCCGTTTCATCCTCTTAGGGGCTGAATTTGGGAAAATCCGTCATAATAACTAGGTAACTGCGTGTCAAAATTTCAGCACAATTCGTTTAGTAGTTTGAAGCTTGAGCTGTGTTGGTTAAATCAGTCGGTATCTAAAAAGATTTGATTTGTGTGGATTGCCGTAGACATCAAGTTGATTAGGTTATATCCGCATCATGTATTAAATTTTATTGAAAGTGCTTAGCGAGTTCATCCACCCCTTCTCCTGACCTACTTCGCCAGATTCCGTGCGCACACGTCATATAAACAAAGCCTATGTTAATGCAAGGGCTGTTCGTTAACTACAATATTATTCGCTTCATGTATATTTCGCTTGGTTGTATACTCTCTGAGCTGCCACTGTTTAACACAGAACATTTCATTGTGTATAGAATCTGTTCAATGTACATGATATAAATATGTATGCATAGGTATTCTATGTTATATTCCAAGAATAACCGATAACAAAGTAATACACATTAGTATTCCACAGGGCTCTATTTTTCTTATCTTTTTTAGTTCGTTGTGGAACACGATTGCAAAAACTCATAAGCAACAGGAACATTTAGAGATAACCAGTCTGCTCGTAATTGCGAGCTCAATTTTTAAAGCCTTGATAGTTTTAATTTTATGTCAGGCTTGATTTTTTAACTGAAAATAGCGCTACATTTATTTACAAAAGTAGGAAAATAAATTTTAAAAAATCCTCATTATTTAGGACACGCTCAATAGTACACCCGACAAAAGAGATTTCAGACGAGATGCATCTTTCAGGCCAAGAGTTTCTCCGCTGTGATAAAAAAACTTATCCAAAGATACGAAGTATAATCATAGCTATTAGACTTTTACACTTCAACGCTAAAATGTCAAGAATGGAAATTGCTATGAGCAAACTCTATTTACTACATACCGCGCTTCTGATGCGCGTTAACACGTGCACTGCAACAGTCGCGCGGCGGAATGCGCGGGCCCGGTAATTGATTCACCATCGCCACTACAGATGATCGGAGTGATAGGAATTTGGAAATTGGAACAATTGTCTCTTCGTAAGAACCGTAATTTACTGAACTCCACCGAGCGATAAATTTAATAAAACTAATTTGATAGGCGGCGTGCAATTTGGCGACATTAATGTATTAAATTATCGTTATCAATTTAACCGAGTGCTCCATGATATAACTTTTAAGACTATACCAACTAATCGATATAATAGATCATTGTTTCAGTATATTATGTAACTTCGATCCGTGGTTCCATAGTTTAGGCTTAGAGCGAGAACATGCTTATATTTGTTTAAACTTAACCTTAAGTACTTAAGCTTTAAAAAATTAGTTAAAAGCAAATGAAATAAGTATATTATTAAGTTTTTCTATATCAGACAATGAGGATTTGGGTTTTATAATATGGTAAATGTTAAATTGATCGTTAAATCGCAAATCGCAGCTGCATACCTACTCATGTTACAGAAATCCTTATATAGGGTTAATATGTACAATGGAACGTCCATATCCGTCGCACCTAGTATTCATAACAGAGTTAACAGACAGTAAACTCATTCATGCCAGCATGGAAATTGTTGTGGACCGCGAATAAGCCTCTATTGTGGATCAAGGACGGCGCCGTAATTAGTGCTCCGCCGCTAAAGTTCAATCAATTCTCTTGCAAAACTACCAGCCGACCCATATAACCTTTGATATTAGACCACAGTTTTTATAACAGGGAAATAAAAATAAGTTGATTTAGAAGCTGGCTGTGTACGCAACGACTGCATTGATTAGAATGCAAAGACGTGTTACGTTTTCTTGTTTTGCATAACGAATAAGTTTTGCAATTTTTTACTTTTTGTCACTATTCAAAAGAGTATAAATTATGACAGGAGAATAGCCAAAATGCAAACCAGTATTTAGTTTTTGTGTGTTAATGAGCAAATTATCGTCTTGGTCACTTTGCGAGCAATGAGTTGCTACATAAATGCCGCAGTGGTTACAGAAACAAACAGATTTTTTTAAGCAGAATAACTTTTGCAAAGAGTAATGCAATGTCCATGTTCATTATGACAGGTCGATATATCTTGCTACTCCTGCAAGTTTGGATCAGGATTCAGGATGTAATGTGTCAGCTAGATAGAATAGAATTGTTTCTTGAATTAGTTAAATCTATTTTTAGCTGTTTGTGTATTCAAGATTTATAAATAATCAGCGCCTGCCGGTGCAATGTGAGAATAACTCTCAATGTTAGTGTCGCGACAAATCGATACACATTACACACTGCTCAAACAATCGGCACCTTTCTTTTCAGTTCGGAAGTCCAGAATATTTATCATTTATGTAGGGATTTACACTCATTACAAAATGTGGAAACTTAGTAACATCCTAATGATGTTACTATTAAAAAGTATTTAATAAATATTTACTCTAAAAATCGGAAAAGGGTAGTTACTTTATTTTATAGGATGTTTAAGTATAAATAGCAATTACTCTACTCTAAAAAAAATTTACACTTGATTGATAACTAATCAATTTTGAAGACTAGAATGAATTGTTCTTTTAAAGGAATTTATGCTTTCTAACTTATGTAATTGTCCGTTTTGTTACAGCAACGTCACCAAAACGACTCGCAAGTGAACCACCGGCGGGCGAAGACGCTCCGCAATGGCAAGCTTGTGGAGGAGAAGTGGGCGTCTGTTCAGGTGGGAGACGTCATCAGGCTGGAGAACGACCAGTTCGTCGCCGCAGACATCCTTCTGCTCAGCACGTCGGAGCCTAACGGGCTCTGCTACATTGAGACCGCTGAGCTTGATGGGTAAGTCGAAGATCGTCATCATCAGTTCACTTAATAGGACTTCCTCCTAAACGTTTATTATTTCTTTATAGGCCTCCCCCATAAGTGCACTGATTCTAGGTTACTGAGTAGATTTTGAATAGGAAGACTTGTGTGTCAGGAAGGAGGCACAGAGATAACAAAAGTGCAGTTTGTAAAATATATGTATTTTTTATAACATTTAACATAATCAATCAAATATTATTTACATAATCAATTTGAAAATTGATTAACAGACCGTGTTTTATGATTATCATGAAACTAGTGAATAAAATTGATGACCTTTGCATCCCTTTCACTTATTGCCAAACTTCAACTGATCCGTATGTACACCAAGGCCTTCCAGTTCCTGCATCAATCTGATAATAATATTTTTTTACGCTTGCATAACAAATATTCGCAATCGTGTTTATTTTGTTACATAATAAATAAATCATGTTATCCTGAAGACAGTTTTGTAACCATACGATTTAAACACACGAGAAAGCATTAAAGATCGGGTTTTTTTATTTCTTTTTGGATTTACTTGAGATTGAAAATGTAAAACAAATGCCTACACATTGGTTTTAATGTATAGTTCCAAAATACTGAACTGTCCTATGCATGACATTGACAGTGGGGCGCCACCGTCAATACCGGATCGCTGGTTCCGATTTTTGCCATGTTGGATTGGAAACCATATAGTTGAACGATGGTAGCGCCGCCCTGTCATTGAGTTTGGTGGGACAGTTCAGCGTGGGTCATCTATATTACGTATGTAATCTCCGCTCATTATCCATGTACTCGACCCTTGTCAATTCAAGCGTATAAATTTTCACTGTAATGAAAAATCTGTATTACTTACACAATGTGATCTCGAATAAAAAGTTACGATTTCGAATAATAAGTAGGAGTTAATTCTTTTTTTTTTTCAAGTTTGTTACACCACGCTTGGTCACGCGTGGAGGTCAAACCTGTGCTCATTCATTAATTATTAAAAAGAATATGACATGCATTTAACGTAATGACGTCTTGTCTCCGCTGGACATGCTACACGCACTATCTGATTTATGACGGTGTGAATGAGTCACCATGATTTGATTGCAGTGAAAGGACAGTTTGCTTACTTACTTCATCATCTTTGTTTACTTCCTTCACATTATTCGTCATTGTGGTTAATACCTACATTAGAACCTGATAACAAAATGTTACTTAGAACTTAATTAGACATCTAACAAACACCTATTAGCTATTAATCAAATTACTGTACTGACAAATACCTAACTGAATTTACTTCGTCATTTGTCCAAGTATGTAGTTTATCAATCTGGTATTCTATGAAAATCAATAGAGTATTATTATAGGTTCTGGGCTACTTAATTATGGCCTTACTAATTTAGTTCTATTTTACTTTCTGTACTTTCTCTATATACATATTTATTGTGGCAAACAGACAGGTACTTGGAAAGCGTAATTAAAAATTCTAATGTAGTAGACACTGACATGTTTCATTATCTTTAATTATTTACGTAACTTTGCTTTAAGAAATGGTAATCTGTGCTATTGAATGAACAAAAGTGGGTACTAGGGTACATAGTGAGTTCTGCGGTTAATTCTAATGGTGATCTCTACATTTTGTATAATTATGTTTTCTTCCAGTTAGTTACTGTAACCAGCTGTAAGAAAATAAAGTTATACATTTTCAATCGTATTTGTATAAAATGTTAAGGCTGGTATAAATCTTTGTTAATAAACAGTTATAAAGCTGGGGCAGCTCGTCTAAATGAAAAAGGTTATTACTTCGTTATAGTTGATTAATCGTATTCTGAAACGTTATGACGCGAACAATAAAGATATAATTAAAATCCTCATGCTATGGACATTATGTAGGCGCACATAAATTTCTTATTTGAGCATAAAAGTTTATTGTCTCAGTCTCAGTTTATATGTTGGGATTTTACCTGATCTTGCTGTTATACAAACCTAATTAATATTGTTATCACTATCATTAGGCACGGTCTTTTTATCTTTTGCCTCCTCTTGAGTCGCCGTGGGCGTCCTTTGTAATATTGTAGTACTCTCATCCTTAAGTAGGTCAAGTAATTAAGAATTAAAAATAGAACTTTAGGGTCTAGTTATCGAGCGAGTTGTTGCGCCTTGTAGGTAAGGTAAAAAAGGTCGTTTATTTAATTAGGACTTCGGCAAGAGATGTCATATTTACTTTCTGGAAATTAGTGGGCATGTAATTAAGTTCTTCTATCAGGGTTTATAGTGACATTATGTATTTTTTTGTTGCAGGGAGACAAACTTGAAATGTCGCCAGTGCCTTTTGGAGACAGCCGCGATGGGCCAGGACGACGGCAAACTGGGCGCGTTCGACGGCGAGATCGTATGCGAAACACCAAACAACCTGCTAAATAAGTTCGAAGGTGAGGAAAACAAACTTTTATAATAGGTTATAGGTTCAAAACGGGACCAATGAACGCTAAGTTAGATAGTTTTCACGTCACTGAACTCGAAACGGAATTGTTGGGTTAGTTTATCGGAGTAAATATAGCCTGAATCAGTGTAAAGTCCAGCCATTCCATAGAACACAGGTTCATTAAACGTAGATTTCTCGGAACTTTTCCATAACTGTCAACTTCTACAGATATAGCGCTCAATAATACCAACGAGAGAGTTCCGAGCTAAAACTGTCTTGGGACCGGCAATGAAATTAATCAGAAGTCAATAGGTGTTCGAAGTTTGTACCTATTTATTAGCGAACTCTATAGTTGGTTCTCCACGAGTATTGGCACATTTTCAATGTATTAGCGACCGATCCGTCGGTATTACACATTACCTGTTAGTAAATGCGCTTGCAATGCATTCATGAAATGCATTGCGCCGAACAATATGATTTAAAGTACCTACTCGCAATGACTTTACTTACTGTTGTTTCCCATTCATGCGAGTATTCTGAGCTCCTGCCTCTAATAATTTTGTTTATCGGTTGTGATTCATGAATGCCATCGTATTTTGTCGTCGTGGTGACGCATGATAGCAAGTTAAAAGTGAATAAATAGCATTTAAATACGGAACAAAAATAGTGAAAGAGCCATAGCTCTTATCTTGTGTAATTTACTTCATTTTCATTAATGAAAGTCATGTTCTAAAGTATTTTTTGAATGTTATTCTTACTGTAAAATGATGGAACTTTTCGCAAAGATTCAGAAAATAGAAGACGAGATTGTAGGTACCCCTACATCGAAATCGTCAGATCATAAAACACAAAATGATACCTATTGATTTTATTTATTTCAAAGCTACACGTGATATGAGATCGAACACAACATGTGTAGGTATTTATTTGTTTGGATAAAACAAACAGTGACATCACAATCCACACCCCCACAGATCTACTATGTAGTGAAGCGTAACCTTTGAGGAAGGACTATGACGTCATAAGTCATTAAACTTGTGTTGCCTACAAACTGTTGTGTATCGAGTATACAAAAAGGTTATTGCAAAAGGACAAGAGCATTTATAAAGACATATACAAAGTATTTAGTTTGTCCATTCAGATTGGCTCATTATTATCTACAACAGTTTTACATTTTCCTTAAAGTAAATCGTGATATTAAGTCTCTATTTTTGCGGATTTCATATGCTCGCCTCTGTTCTGAAAAAAATAGTGTCAGGCATTCCATTTTTTTTTCATTCTTATACGAACGAGTATCATCGCTACGAGTAGCCTACAAGAAGCTGCAAATAGCACAATCAGATCCCGACTTTTTCAGATGAATTGCGTACGCGTACTTACTTAGTCTGATCAGTATGGTAATTTCAAACATGACTGTGGTCCGCTGCCGTTGGATATAAACTTTATAAACCCCCCAAGCAGTGCCAAACTTTGACAACCAGAGAACACGACCTTCTGCCTTTTTCATCCATGAAATAAAGTGTTCGTGTTATTAATATTTCCTCATTAAATCTGATAGTAAACACTAGCCTTATTAACCGTCTTCAAAAATGGGTTATTCATGGTGCAATTTTGTCCAGGCACGTTGAGCTGGCGCGACCAGCACTTCTCGCTGGACAACGACAAGATCCTGCTGCGTGGCTGCGTTCTCCGCAACACGTCGTGGTGCTACGGCGTCGTCGTGTTCGCCGGGAAGGACACCAAGCTGATGCAGAACTCCGGGAAGACCAAGTTCAAGCGCACGAGCATAGATAGGCTACTTAATTTTCTTATTATAGGGGTAAGTAACACTAATTAATTATGTTACCGCCTACTCTAATTTCAACTTTAACTTTCCCCCGGGATAAACTTGACCTTCACTGGTTGGGTTTTTATTGGCGGTCAAGCTGTAGATCCTGGCTACACAGTAGTTGCGGTGGAAACTAGAGGTGGGAATAGTCCCGTACTCTAATTTCGGATTGGCCCAAATGTTTATTTTGAAAACTGGTAGAGAATGTCATATGGCATGTAGGTAGTTCGCCTTTTGTAACCTGTTCAATGTGTAAATATTTTTTTAAATAAATAAAATAAGTGCTGCTTCCAATATGGTAAATGACTTTTCTTCCACCAGTTTCTCTTGCGCGTTTCTCCAATAGATTTTGTACGGCAAAAACAAGCTATGACCACATGATGTTCCTTTTTCGCCAATTGTCTTGCATTGTATAAAAGCCCTAAAACTTATATTAATTTGACGACCAGTAATTGCAAACTGATGAGATTTTCTGGGCTAGAATTATATATCTTTTAGAAGTTTCGCAATAATATTATTAGGTGAAACTAATGGGGCGTGAATTCTTATCTATATATTCAATTTGCAGTGCCACTTTTAGTCGAAAAAAAACTTTCACCTATTGGTAGAACCCATATGTGTATGTTTTTTATGTAATACGCAATTAGTTGACGACATTGCCGACCTTGCTTTAACGCGCTGTGGGCCACTGGGAATCATACGAAAGATTTGACACGATAGGGCTTATACACGGAATTATTTTTTATTAGCCTGGGAGGTTCATACTACTACCATACTTGATACAAATTTCCAATCAATTACCGCATAGTTGCAGTGTGTTTTTTATGAAGAAAGTAAAGGCAATATGTTGATAAGGTTCGCTATTTATTTGCGTTGTTCATTGAAGCGGTTTTACGTAGGTGTAGGTTATTTCATTCACAGAATTCAGGTTAAATACCAGTCAATTTTGATTGCTAATTAATGAGCAACTGCTATCAAAGTCACGGCCTTATTTTGAAAAAAGGATACTGCTAACGATATTATGAGTTATTTAGTGAATTCGTGGACCAGAAACTTTGTAGTTGCATTACAATAGTATTACAAATTATAATATGTTAGTTTATCACTATGAGAATACATTTTAATTACACTATGTTCTTTTCACTATTTACAAGGACGTAGATAATATACACGGAACTTGGCATAAAGAGAGAGTTCAAATGTTGAATAGACATGCCACTTATTATGAGGGTAGATCATAACATAAATTCTAAAGCACATAAAGATTACGTTGTATAAATCAACTAACAGTCCCTTTTCTATATTTATGACGGAAATGTAAGAAGTATTTTGAATTAAGCCTACAGCACGTGCATTTGTATCTTCAAGAAGTTTAAAATCATGACAGATTAATAATATGATGAGGAGGATCTTATTTTACCGACAGTGACACCAACTAATTAGAGCAAATACGATATCCCTAACTCAAAACACATCATTTATTATTTTGTTTTGTAATGAATTTGGTGACATGCATATGCCTAAATATTGTGGCGTGTGCCATTAATGGCACGCCATTAGGTTCGCCTTTCTTGGTCTAGGGTGGCTGATCTAAACAGTAGCTTTGCTCATCCCCAGATAGTATTCTTCCTGCTGTCGATGTCACATGTAACACAGATTAAGAAATTGCTCTAAACGGTTTAATTACACTGGTCAACAAAATTTTGTAACAAGAAAGGTGCTTGCTAATTTTAAATTACCTACCTACCCTCAATTTATTTCCATATTTATTTTGATTCCATCAGGTCTAGTTTTCGTGTTACAGCTACTACCCACAAAATTAAAAATTAACCTTTTTTTTCACTTTCGCATTCAGAGAAATTGTTTATTTGAAGAGCGTAGTGTTTTGTTCTGTTTTTAGAGTTAAGTGATTCTTAAATAATGTCAAGAAAGTGCAAAAATGATCCTTAAAAGTTTTTTTTAAATTTGTGGTGACATTACTTTCAAAACTCAGCGAAGGAATTTGACATCATTAGTAACTAAGTTATATGAACAGTATTTTGGCTTTTCCATCGGACAACAAGACAAAGTGAGGGTTCCATACATCTGTTATGTTACATGTGTGGGTCTTTTCACTGGGTGGGCGAAAAGATCTCGATCTATGCCTTTTGCAATCCCTATGATTAGGTTGGAACCAACGAACCAATCATTTGATTGTTATTTTTGTCTTACTGATACAAAAAAGGTATTATAATTAAACCAAAAAGTAAAATTAAGTATCCTGACCTGCCTTCAGCTAAAAGACCGATCCCTCATAGTGAAGATCTACCGGTAGTCCGCTACCAGAACCACCTCAAACTAGCGATCTGGCCGTTACGCCAAAAATCGAAAAGACACATTGGATCCTGACTTTGAGGGCATATTTGTTGGCCCTCAAATCAGGCAATTGATGAAAGATGATATATCGTCATGAACACAGTCGTGCCTATATCGCTGTACGTCTCCGTGGAGGTGAGTCGTGGAATAAGTCTATCAATAGGTGTGCCTGCCGTGGGACACACTCGTCCCAGCCGAGGCGGCGCCGGGCGCGGTGGTCATAGCATTTCTAGTGTTCTTCTCGTACGCCATCGTCATGAACACAGTCGTGCCTATATCGCTGTACGCCCCGTGGAGGTGAGTCGTAGAATAAGTCTATCAATAGGTGTGCCCAGTGCCGTATTATCCATAAGGCACTTTAGGCCAGTGCCTAGGGGCCCACTATGGCCAGGGGCCCCCTATGACCATGGGCCCAGCACTCCCGATAAAAAAATGAAAAAAAAAAAAAATGTTAAAGATTATTTTTATGCAACAAAACTCAAACCACCTCAAAACTTCGCCTTATTTTGGTTTACACATTCAATCGTCATATTTCGATATTGTAGAACCTAATTAATTTTCGTGACGTTGGCATTACTTACTGCTTTGGTTTACATGACAGGTTGACGCCCTTCAGGCCTCCACAGTGAGGCTAAAAAGCCTCACTGTGGAGGCTAGGGAGAGGGCTGAGGGTGTGTTGGCTGTATCATTCGATATAGCCAACGCTTTCAATACCATCCCTCATCCCACCATACTCTTCAACATCACAGAGTGCCTCAGTACGTTTGAGCGCTGCTGGGCGATTACTTACGGGACCGCGAAGTCCTGTATGTTAACAGAGACGGCCAGCTCAAACGGCGCGGCGTAGCCAGCGGGGTTCTTGATCGCTAATGTCAGTTTGCAGCGAGTAACACAACCTCCCCGTCTGAAGGCCAGCGGCCGACTGCCGCCCGCACCCCGCGAAGGCCCCCTCAACAGCAAAACGTTCGGAATTTATCAAAAGTAAAATTTATGAATGAAAGTAATGTTCGATTGAAAAACGCAACGTGTCATTTAAAGATGAAAGAATTCTTAATCTATTCGTGCAAAAATCTTTAAAATTAACATAGCCGTTTGGGAGGAGTAGGGAATTGAAGTAAAAAATCGATGTCCCGTATTTATTTTTTTAATCCACAACAAAGAGACGTAGGAAAAATTCAAACGTGTCAAATGTAGTCCTTGAACTGTTGTATAACATATATTTTTTTCAACTATTTCTGTCCAGCAGTAAAAGAGGAGTAGGCTTTACAAAATGACCATTTCACGCGGATTGAGGACACTAATCGCCTTAAGCGTTCCCATGCATGTGATGCGACTTCGGAATAAAAATTGTGACTTTTTGATACTTTACTATGGGTATACCCCAGTCTAGTCTAAACTAGTGTAAAGCCATGAATATGTCAACATTCAACATATTTGTAGACAATTTTGTTGAATGTTGAGATGTTTTTGTTGAGTGTGTCGAGCAACACAGGCGCTGGAGACCCAGCTTAAACATGTGTTTTTCTCGTCCGCAGATAGTATTCTTCCTGCTGTCGATGTGCGTATTCTGCACGGTGGCGTGCGGCGTGTGGGAGTGGCTGGTGGGCCGCTACTTCCAGGTGTACCTGCCGTGGGACACACTCGTCCCAGCCGAGGCGGCGCCGGGCGCGGTGGTCATAGCGTTCCTCGTGCTCTTCTCGTACGCCATCGCCATGAACACAGTCGTGCCTATATCGCTGTACGCCCCGTGGAGGTGAGTCGTGGAATAAGTCTATCAATAGGTGTGCCTGTCGTGGGACACACTCGTCCCAACCGAGACGGCGCCGGGCGCTGTGGTCATAGCATTTCTAGTGTTCTTCTCGTACGTCATCGTCATGAACACAGTCGTGCGTATATCGCTGTACGTCTCCATGGAGGTGAGTCGTAGAATAAGTGTTAATATCCAGGTGTGCCTGTCGTGGGACACACTCGTCCCAACCGAGACGGCGCCGGGCGCGGTGGTCATAGCATTTCTAGTGTTCTTCTCGTACGCCATCGTCATGAACACAGTCGTGCCTATATCGCTGTACGTCTCCGTGGAGGTGAGTCGTGGAATAAGTATCAAAATCCAGGTGTGCCTGCCGTGGAACACACTCGTCCCAGCCGAGGCGGCTACCTTGATTAGTAAACTGCATGTAATATAACCTATTTCGTCTACCATAATGGCTTTTATTAGACCGTATGAGATGTGTTATTTTCTGCTACATAAACCAAGAGCAGAATAAAATAATTGAACACAAAATACTTCAAATGTCTTGAACAAAAAACTTCCATTGACATCATATAGTTTACTATGAATCATTAAAAAAATAAGATCAAAATAATAATGCCATTATTTTGTGTAATAGATAAATCACTAACCATTGAAGCATTGGCTTCAGCCTTACGGTCACATTTTACACTCAGATTTCAATCAATTCATTTTACTGTACATATTGGCGTTAGTGAGTCAATCTATTTGCTTGGATGTTTGAAGTTACGTCACTGCTCTATATCTACAGTGAAGGTAAATCCCCGACGCATTTAATGTTGACACAGCCTGGATATAGGTTTAGAAGGGACGCGTATCCATGAGTTAAAATAGTACCTAACCATAGATGTTTACATAATTTGTGTAATACAGACTGTATTTAGTAATCTGTGACTTATTCCGAAATCTTTGCTATTGAAACTAGAGCAGATAATGTTAATGAGCTTGATTAATGTTTCGTGGCCATCCAAATGATGCACTTTTGATAATTTGCCACGATGATGTAATTTGGTCACGGTCGAATTGATTTTCGACGCTTGTAAAATTTTGCAAAACATTCGAATTGTTAATTATTTTATCCCTGGATAACTTAGGGGGCGTCCATAAATTACGTGAGACAATTTTGGCTATTTTTCAACCCCCCCGCCCCCCTTGGTGAGATTTGGTGAGATTTTGCCCGACCCCCTCCCCCACCCCCCTAATCTCACGTGATATTGAATAAAATGCCTATTAGATTTTTATGAAAAAATCAGTAACCCAGTGTCGTACCACGCGCAGTGCAGGGTTCCGTAGCTTCCCAACAAGCAATTGCTTTAACCTAGGACCAGTTTTTTGATTCATAGTTAAAATAACTAATTGTTAAATTTTGCTACTAATGGTTAAATATTAATAAAATGTAAACTAATAGTTAAAAAATGTACTAAAAGTCATGTTAAACATTGTTATAAAAACATTTTTTTCTGTTATTTAACCACTTGTCAATTGACATCTGTCAAATTTGACTATTGGTTACTTTAACTACGAATACATAATATTTTCATACGTATGTAATGTCATTTTTTAGGGTTCCGTAGTCCTGACAAGGAACCCTTATAGTTTCGATATGTCTGTCTGTCTGTCCGAGGTTTCGCTTGGAAACTATTGGCACTGGGGAGTTGTAATTTTGTGAAGGTATGTATATTATTCACGCCGACAAAATGGTAAAATAAAATTTTGAAAAAAAAAACCAAGGGTAGCTCCGCTGCATGTAAAGTGGGGATGAATTTTTTTAAGGAAAACTATAACGGTTAAGATACATTACTTAGTTTAAGAGTCAAGTCATTTGACTCATGTATTATAAAATTTCTTAACCAGTAAAAATTCCATAAAGAAAATATGAAGTGACTTTAGTTAGATGAAGTAATTGCTTGCTTCTGAAATATATAGTGGTAACGACAAACAACTACGAAACCCTACACTGCGCGTGGCACGAAACGCACTTGGCCAATTTTTTACGCAATAGCGAAGCCGATGACATTTTTTTTTAATTTCGAATTTCCTTAATTTAGTTTAATTTGATTAGACGGTTTAGAATAAATTGTCATTAACATCATAAAAAAAATCATTTTTTTTTACTTCAATAACCCAGTTTTCTGGCAATTTTACTCTATTTGTTGCGGGAAAAATTACGTGATATTTTCCGAGACCCCCCCTCTCCCCCACGTGAGATATAGTGAGCTTTTCGTTGACCCCCTCCCCCCCCTAAAAGTCTCACGTAATTTATGGACGCCCCCTTACTGACTATGTCAGTCCACTATCTTCAAAGGGGCTGGCCAAAAACAATTGAACTTATTTAAACTTGCATTTGTTTTGTTACAGGTAATAAGATTTGCACAGAGTTTTCTCATTAATTGGGATGAGAAAATGTATTATGATAAGACTGGAACAGCGGCGAAAGCGAGGACAACTACGCTGAACGAAGAGCTCGGTAAGTGTTATACTAATTTTGCATCACCAAATTATAATTTTGCATTCTCACATTGAGTTATACAACACACTTTTGACCTTGTCTCTCCCAAAAAGGTAACTGTTCCTAAAAAATCTTTAAAGAAAATTAATTAGTCGTTTTACCACCGTTCGCTTGTTTTCATACGCGTTCATTTTCAGGTCAAATCCAGTATATATTTTCTGATAAAACGGGCACGCTAACACAAAACATAATGACGTTTAATAAGTGCTCTATAGCTGGAGTCTGTTACGGTGACGTCGTAGACGAAGCCACGGGCGAAACGATCGAGCTCACAGAGGTATGTACTCAAATATTGTATCAAAACAATTTTATATCAAGTTAAAACTCAATTTTTAATCTACAATAGACAGTTAGCACTTTGGCATAGATTCAAAAGTCACCTGCGGCATGTAGGTTGCATTTTTACTTTCCAAGTCATTTGGTCACACCAACTATTTTGAACACCATGCAGCACGAAATATAATTTATTTTGCATGAAGTTTGAATTTATTTTCTTTTTCATTCAATACGAAAATATTTTTAGGAGTTGATAATAATTATAATGTTTTGTATCGTTTGCCCACGCTTTTGGGATTATGTTGTGAATCGTTTGAAACTGTTTGTCGTGTTCGTTTACCTACCAGTTTAGTGCATGGATAATAGATGAGCGTTAAGATCAGAGGTACACTTATCGTGTCGTAATTATTCATGCACACGTGTAATCGTCATAAAGTTATGTCACACCGTCTACCACCCACCGATCACTTTAGTAGATTGCATGTCTTCACAATGACGTAGATTTTATCTGATTTGCTTATAAAACGTTGTGATAAATAACGGCAACGAGTTGTCGAGTTTTTATTTTAATGTTTGTTTTGCAACGGACTGAATCATAGGACACATTCGAGACACCATGTATCGTTCTCGTGATACGATAACATAATATCATCCACATTATGATTCGAAATAACAAAACAGAATAAACAAAGTCAAATGGTGTTAACTGAAAATGAGTCGTATACCCGTGTCGGCAATCGATCGATAGCTTATCGACCGGCACTCAATAGGCGCTGTTTAGCGGCAGCGGCTGAGGCGGCTATGGGACTATTCCCACATCTCGTTCCCACCACTGCAACTCCTGTGTAGTCAGGGATCTACAGCTCGACCGCCATAAAAACTCAACCAATGAAGGTCAAGTTTGTCCCGGGGGAAAGTTAAACTGTCATCGGACCCGCAACGAAATTAATCAGAAGAAAATAGGAGTTCGAAATATTAAGGTTCGACTTCCCTCCATTGCAAAGCGGATGACAGGTGACAAAGGTTTAAAACCTTTAAGAAAAGATTATGCACCACGGACAGTAAATATCAATTAAGGGGGCCTATCTTACGAGCAATTAGCGACTACCTGCCAATAAATATTTTTCACAAAATCGCTTAAGGTGATGCCTTGCTAATATTGGGCGTTTTAAAGAAGCGCAGAATTAGTTTTAATCGTACTTTTCTTATTACTTATGTTCTTATTTTGAAATATGTCATAGTTGACTAATAAATCTAGTGTCTGGTCGAAGCCGAAACATGAATGGAAACAATTTTCTCGATAGAAAAAAAAATCCAAAGATGACCCTTCTATTACTCAGTTTTTCGTTTTATAAGCAGATAGGCTAATATTTCAATACCAAATTTTGTATATTGGTAAGGTNAGAAGGAGGCAGCAGAGCGCGAGCGGGAGAACGATCCTCTCGCCCCATCGCTCCGTCTCTCGCTCCATCAGAAGGCGGTTGTACGACCGTTCTACTCTGCCCCCATGTGGCGGCCAGCAGGCCGCGGCTTCGGGGGCACCGTTGTCACCTCCGTCTGACGGGAACGGCTTGGCGTTTCGGGCATTCCCGTCGGACCCCCACAAGGGGGGCGTGTAGGGTCCGCCGTGTAGGCGAGCTGTCGCTGTAGCGTGGTGTCGCGGAAGTCTAAGGCTACGGCCGGATACTCGCGACACCCCCACTCGGGCTACGACAGAACGCCGCGGAGGTTTTAGTAGGTAAAACCCGTCCTTTTCCCTTTTTAGGGCGCCGGGAGTGGTGACGGTGCGCAAATCATATCCTCCGCGACAAAAAAAGGGGGGCCCAAAAGGAGCTGTGCCTAGGGGCCCCGAGATGGTTAATCCGGCCCTGGGTGTGCCTGNCACAAAACATAATGACGTTTAATAAGTGCTCTATAGCTGGAGTCTGTTACGGTGACGTCGTAGACGAAGCCACGGGCGAAACGATCGAGCTCACAGAGGTATGTACTCAAATATTGTATCAAAACAATTTTATATCAAGTTAAAACTCAATTTTTAATCTACAATAGACAGTTAGCACTTTGGCATAGATTCAAAAGTCACCTGCGGCATGTAGGTTGCATTTTTACTTTCCAAGTCATTTGGTCACACCAACTATTTTGAACACCATGCAGCACGAAATATAATTTATTTTGCATGAAGTTTGAATTTATTTTCTTTTTCATTCAATACGAAAATATTTTTAGGAGTTGATAATAATTATAATGTTTTGTATCGTTTGCCCACGCTTTTGGGATTATGTTGTGAATCGTTTGAAACTGTTTGTCGTGTTCGTTTACCTACCAGTTTAGTGCATGGATAATAGATGAGCGTTAAGATCAGAGGTACACTTATCGTGTCGTAATTATTCATGCACACGTGTAATCGTCATAAAGTTATGTCACACCGTCTACCACCCACCGATCACTTTAGTAGATTGCATGTCTTCACAATGACGTAGATTTTATCTGATTTGCTTATAAAACGTTGTGATAAATAACGGCAACGAGTTGTCGAGTTTTTATTTTAATGTTTGTTTTGCAACGGACTGAATCATAGGACACATTCGAGACACCATGTATCGTTCTCGTGATACGATAACATAATATCATCCACATTATGATTCGAAATAACAAAACAGAATAAACAAAGTCAAATGGTGTTAACTGAAAATGAGTCGTATACCCGTGTCGGCAATCGATCGATAGCTTATCGACCGGCACTCAATAGGCGCTGTTTAGCGGCAGCGGCTGAGGCGGCTATGGGACTATTCCCACATCTCGTTCCCACCACTGCAACTCCTGTGTAGTCAGGGATCTACAGCTCGACCGCCATAAAAACTCAACCAATGAAGGTCAAGTTTGTCCCGGGGGAAAGTTAAACTGTCATCGGACCCGCAACGAAATTAATCAGAAGAAAATAGGAGTTCGAAATATTAAGGTTCGACTTCCCTCCATTGCAAAGCGGATGACAGGTGACAAAGGTTTAAAACCTTTAAGAAAAGATTATGCACCACGGACAGTAAATATCAATTAAGGGGGCCTATCTTACGAGCAATTAGCGACTACCTGCCAATAAATATTTTTCACAAAATCGCTTAAGGTGATGCCTTGCTAATATTGGGCGTTTTAAAGAAGCGCAGAATTAGTTTTAATCGTACTTTTCTTATTACTTATGTTCTTATTTTGAAATATGTCATAGTTGACTAATAAATCTAGTGTCTGGTCGAAGCCGAAACATGAATGGAAACAATTTTCTCGATAGAAAAAAAAATCCAAAGATGACCCTTCTATTACTCAGTTTTTCGTTTTATAAGCAGATAGGCTAATATTTCAATACCAAATTTTGTATATTGGTAAGGTAATAACATATTCTAAGTACTGGTCGAGTTATTTTCTTTAAATAGTGTTTGGTTTTTCAATAAATACATGATTTCCGATTTTTGTTGCTTACGTTATTTTATTCCGCGCCGCGCGCGCTATTGCTGTCCCTTTCCTCGCACTGAGAAATCATATTTCTATCCCTCTGTGTGCGAGGCATTCAGTCGGCCGAAAACTTTTACGAGGTAGCGCCTTAAAAGCGTGGAAAATGTTCCTTGTCGCGACAAGATCGGTGTAATCTGAGGGGTGGTAGGGGCGGTGTGGTGAGCACTGAGCGTGTGTGTGGTGCAGCGACGGGGCCCGACGCTCGGCGGGGGCAGCGGGGGCGGCGGGGGGCGGGGCTCGGTGGGCGGGGCGGCGCGCGCGCGCCTGCTGGACCTCGAGCACGAGCAGGGCCGCAGCACGCCCGGCGCGCGGCGCCCGCGCGCAGACACATACGTATGACACAATCACATTTACCATACGAGGGCCTGATTTTGCTTTTTTACTGTATAGTCTGGTCCGTGAGCATGTACAATTTTGTCCAATGACCCCTAGCTACCCATAGTACCCATCCTTTATCATCATCATCATCATCATCATCATCATCATGTCAGCCATAGGACGTCCACTGCTGAACATAGGCCTCCCCTAATGCTTTCCACATTGATCGATTGGTAGCGGCCTGCATCCAGCGCTTCCCTGCTACCTTCACGATGTCGTCGGTCCACCTTGTAGGTGGACGTCCCACGCTGCGCCTTCCGGTACGCGGCCTCCATTCCAGAACCTTGCTGCCCCATCGGCCCATCCTTTATCGCTCGCGCGTAATTATGTTGCTATCGCGCTCGTACACTCACTGCAGGTGCCAGTCGCGACAGCAATATAATTACGCGCGAGCGATAAGGATGGGTAGCTAGGGGTCATTGGACAAAATTCTACGTGCTCACGGACCGGGCTTTAGTCGATTAGAGCGCTTTCACATTTAAGCGACTTTAGCGACGCGTGGCAGCGGCGGTTTTGTAATGTGAAGGCAGGTATCCGCTGCTGGCGCGCTTCTGACGCCCTAATGTGAAAGCGGTCTTAAAGAACTTCATGGACAATTTATCAGCCCGTTTCAGTATACTTTGCAAAGGAAATGTCGGCATTTTTTGCTTGGACGATTGCTAGTATTTTTGGATCATGCTTGAATATAAGTTAAAGATAAATTGCCTTATAGTAGAAAATTCAGAATCAGACCCATTTACACCCATATTTACAAACAATACTATGTCCTACGCGACAATATAAAAAAAAAAGTTTTGTTTGTGAATATGGTATTTACTCTGTTTTCCTTACAATCCGAGTAGTTTATCAGGTGATCGACTCAACAGGCACTCGATATAAGATTAATGTTAAGGTGTTGTTTATAAATTTGATACCATATTCTTCACTCATAAGAACACTTCTGATAGATTGCTCTCGCAGTATTGTACGGATAAGAGAGTTATAAAAGTTATTAGCTGTTCTAACAATACTCTACATCAGTACGGTTGTTTCCATGTACCAATTTTTATATTTATATTAATTTAATAGTTTAAAAAGTGTTTATAATTTTGTTTTTTAATATTGTACAATTCGTACATAGTGACAGCCATAAGTCCTTCTAGTAAGGGCGTGACACAAACGCTTTATTAGAATTGAATCAACTAATGACATATCATTGTCATGTACTCGGCAATTTGTGAGACCATTATGTAAAAGATGTAATGACTAATAATTTGTTTGACATACAATACATATAACATTTAATATCGCGCTTGTGGTCACATTGACGTCATAAATAGATTTCCTAATAAAATAAGTAATTTCACATAGATGCAATAAAATTATGTCCATTATTTTATTAATGCCCAAAAGCTTGTAGGCCTGTACACTACAAGGTATTTATTTTATATAAAAATATAAAATATTTTAAAAGTAAATTGCGTCTGTGTGTAAGTTCTAAAACATCTTACGATCTATCTTGACTTAATGTGTAACCTTCTTCTCAAATAATAGAGGTGGATTGTAAGAAATATTATCCATACCAGCAATTCATGAGATGGTATGGGGCGATTGGCAGAGGTCACGTTTTTCGCTGTAAAATTAATGCATCTTTGCAATAACTGGTAAATGGCGTAAAAACGTGGCTTCTTTGAACTAAATAATATGTTTAAGGTATTATTTATTGACTAAGAATAATACTTTCGACATTCATTTTGTAGTAAATAATCTATTTCTAAACGTAGGTATATTAATAAGTTATCTATTGCCATATAATCCTATCCAAACTTAAAGTCAAAGTTAATAACAATTAAAATATTATAAGTAAATGTGTATACTGTCCTTATAATAACATTATTAAATGCTATAATTATTTTGTATTCCAACATTAACAGTTTCTATGCTAGGGATCTAAACTTCCTTCTCATACTGGGTCTTATGCTATGTAAAACTACTATAATATTATGCTATTTAATGAAATATGGTAATTGAAATGTATTACTTTTCTATTGAAATGTATTATTTGTATTTGTGTCCTGTGTATGTATGTGTGTGTAGTATATTGGTGTTTTCGTTGTGTGTCGCATGTTCCGCTTTGCATCTTGTGTTGTTTTATGTTTTGTAATGCTTCTGACACAAATAACAATAACATTGCATATTTAAATAGTAGTCAACAAGTCTGCTAAAGAAATAAATTCTTTCTTGGTTTTTACTACATCGAAAAGACTTGTAACTATTATTACAGATTATGCAACTTGGAAGCGCACAATATTCTCCAATAAATACTACCTTGTTCCAAAAGATTACAAGTACTCTTTGTACAATGAAATCCCCTTCAGTAAAACGCGAGTCTTAAACATGCTCATATCAAATAATAATATACACTTCATTGTGCATAGTTATGATGCGCTTATAGTTGCATAATCTGTTCCTACACAACTCCGTAACGATATCCGTATTTTCGGCTATATCTCTTTCTCTCAAAAAGCTCCAAGAGCGATAGAGAGAGATAGATCTGAAAGCACCAGGGCTGGATTAACCATTAGACAGAGTAGGCAACTGCCTAAGAGCTCCGTAAACGTGGGCCCCGTTGACCATAAAAGGACCCCCGCGTGAAAGTAGCAGTGTCCCGCGGTCGTAGCTAAAAAAAAAATACTTACAGAAGAATGAAAAGCTAGGTAAATCCGGCCCTGGAAAGCACGGATATGCCAACAACGTAGCATTCTTCAATAGTAAGACTACGTTATGTTCTTAGAGCACAGAACCGTTGGACTTCTCGTTCAACCCGGAGTACGAGCCGGAGTTCAAGTTCTTCGACTCGACGCTCCTGGAGGCAGTGAAGCGCGGCGACCGGGAAGTGCACGATTTTTTTCGGCTGCTCGCTCTGTGTCACACCGTCATGCCCGAGCAAAAAAATGGACGGCTGGAATACCAGGTATTTATCTTTTTTCATACATTTTTTTTTTTGAGAGAACTAAAAAATTTAATACTATTTACAAAGTAATATTTACAGAAAATAAAATAAAATAAAAATATACTTAGCTATACTTAGTATCCCCGGATCCGTCATTGAGGTTAGCGGTGCCCAGAAGGCTGGCAGCGTTTCCGCGTTGAATTGCGAGGCTTAGACGCTGGCCAAGGTAGAACCCAGCCTTCTAACCTCGATGATGCGGGAGAAAGCTCAGTGAATAGCTTTTTGAAGGCCCCAAGGTCCCAGCGTTTCCACGCCGAAGGGTACAAAGCGGTAGCAGCTGTCTAAAGCGGAATATTTCCTTTTTTTTAAGATTCCGCTAAAGCAGCCGCAGCTGCTGCATTTTGTGAATTTCACTTTTGGTATTCATCTTAGGTCCGGTTTCCAACAAGGCGGAGAAGAGCGGAGTGGAGCGGAGAAGTGTTTTGAATAAACAATCAAATTTTATTATTTCCACTTTTCTCCACTCCGCACAGCTCGGCTATGCGCTACGTCACCGCCGCTATCAAATTTTATAGAAAAACTAGCTGTGCCCGCGACTTCGTTCGCGTGAAAACCCGTTTTTGCATCATTTTTCATTGTTGCTCTGCTCCTATTACTCGTATCGTGATGGTATATAGCCTATAGCCTTCCTCGATAAATGAGCTTTCTAACACTGAAAGAATTTTTCAAATCGGACGAGTAGTTCCTGAGATTAGCGCGTTCAAGTAAACAAACAAACAAACAAACTCTTCAGCTTTATAATATTACTAAAATTATCATGAAACCAAAGTTAAATGCTAGCAATTGGCATGAGTAATGCGGTAGTAATGTTATACTTCCTATTATTACTTTCATACAATTTAATTTAATTAAATATTCATTAATTTAATCGGAGTAATCGTTGATATTTTATGCTAGTACAACTATTAATGATTAATTGTACAGAATAGCTCTATACTGTTTCATATTGAAAAGCTTCTAAAAACACACGTATCCAAAATGTTCAGGGTTTTGTAAATTGCGTTCATTTTGTCCCTTGATTTAATTATTTTACATGATTTTTGTTTTTTAGGCGCAGTCACCTGATGAGTCTGCCCTGGTATCAGCAGCTAGAAATTTCGGTTTTGTGTTCAGAGAACGCTCGCCTAATAGTATTACAATAGAAGTTATGGGTAACAAAGAAGTACGATATCATTTTGAATAAATTGTATTAAATATTGATTCCTGCTAATGTGAAATTAATTCTAATTCAGTGTTTTTCTTTTCAGGAATATGATTTATTGTGTATTTTAGATTTTAATAATGTTAGGAAAAGAATGTCCGTGATATTGAGGAAGGATGGTGAAATTAGGTTATATACAAAAGGTGCTGATAATGTAATATATGACAGATTAAAATCAAATCAAGCAGAAGTTAAATCAAGAACACAAGAACATTTAAATGTGAGTATCTTCAGTCGTATAAATAAACTACAGAAGTCACTATATCAATCGATTGTCGAGTTAGCATCAGTAGTTGTATTTCAGAAACGCGCGGTTCTGTTTTTGAATAATGATTTTGTGTTTCGTTCTAGAAATTCGCGGGCGAAGGCCTACGGACGCTAGCACTCGCGTGGCGGCCGCTCGAGGAGCGCGGCTTCGCGGAGTGGAAGCGACGACACCAGGCCGCCGCGCTCGCGCTCCACGACCGCGACGAGCAGCTCGACGCCATCTACGAGGAGATCGAGACCGACCTGCTGCTCCTGGGTACGTCCACAGCCGACACCCGCCCCTATGCCGCACGCAATAAGGCCGCAGTCTCCGTGGCAGCGACGACACCAGGCCGCCGCGCTCGCGCTCCACGACCGCGACGAGCAGCTCGACGCCATCTACGAGGAGATCGAGACCGACCTGCTGCTCCTGGGTACGTCCACAGCCGACACCCGCCCCTATGCCGCACGCAATAAGGCCGCGGTCTGCGTGGCAGCGATGACGCTCAGAGCAGCTTTTGTAATAGTTGAGGCTTAAAATAAGTTCAAGAAAAAAGATTCCCTCACTTAGTTATTTGACTGGCTTTCGAATTTATTGAAACCTTTTTTTGCAGGTGTCACTGCCATTGAAGACAAATTACAGGATGGAGTGCCTGAAACCATAGCGAATCTCAGTATGGCTGGTATTAAAATATGGGTATTAACGGGTGATAAACAAGGTGAGCAACAAAAATATCTGAATATTATATGCATTTGGCATGAAATATCCGGCTCGAAGGACCAAAATTTTAATTGATCTTTAACATGGATCCTCTTTGATGTTTCAGAAACGGCAATAAATATTGGATATTCGTGTCAGCTGCTGACGGATGACATGGCGGAGGTGTTCGTGATCGACGGCGTCTCGCACGATGATGTGGACCGGCAGCTGGCCAAGTGTCGGGACTCTATAAGGGTCGTCAACACTTTTTTACCACACGGTGAGTTCTTATTGAAGTCCGTAGTGAATTTAGAGTTCAATCCAATATATTGTCATTTTAACCTCAACCAGTAGTCATCAGAAGTCGTCGATCATTATGTCAGTTTGCTAAGTATCGAATATCAACCTAAACATTTCATATAACTATGACATCTCAGCACCAGGTCTGGTATTACTCTGCAGTTGTACAGGTCCTAGCGCAAAACTCGGTCAATGTCTGAGGTATGGGAGCGCTGCGGTACGATAGGGTGATTTTTGACGTCAAACTTTAGGGATACTTCAGATTTATAAACTCTGCCACGTGTCAGATCGTCGCTTGCCTCTCTAACTGACGTATCTGACATTTTTTTCGAAACTGAGTTATATACACAATCTTAATCAATTTCGGAAGACGAATCGATCTGTCTAATCGTCTGAAAATTTTGTAAAATGTCAGTTACGTCAGTTAGAGAGGCAAGCGACGAGATATCACAGACACTGAGTTATGCGCTAGATCTGTATAATATCCAAGATTATTTCTCTACAAATCAAACCTAGCTCAGAAAATTTGTGAACGTTAATCGACCTTACCAAGGTCAATCAAGATTATTGACTATTTTCTATCAAATCAAATCTTACACTAAAGTTAAACATTATTTCAGGTATAGAACCAAAAAACGAGCCTGAGACGGCGAACGGCGGCGCGGCGGTGTCGCGGCCGTCGCCCGGCCGCGCCGCCAACGTCAAGCTTAACGCGCCCGCCGTGTCCGTCGTCACATTTAGGTGGGAACATAACACAATACCACACCGCAGGTAGAGAGACAAAGAGCTACACCTTGTATACGTCACGCCTCCCGCTATACCTCTGTACTCTTGAGCTGTGCCCTGTCTGTTGCTGCGAGTCACAACCGCTGCCGCGATGTTCTTTTGTTATTGAGTTGTGTGAAAAGTAATAGACATGTTGACACCACCAATCAATTGACGTACTTTTTAAAACTGTCAAAACGAAACTCTCCCATAGATTTTGTATGGCAGTACAAGCAAGTGACGTCACTATTTTGTCAACTCAATCAAACTACTTTTTTCAATTACAATGCGAACAAAAATCGTAATTTACAGGTAATTTAAAATGAATTAAGTTTTTAAGACCAGAATAAAGGGTCTTTTTAAAACAGTTGTGGTTTCGAATTATTGTGGTATGGTGTGTCAAACTGTCTATTGCTGATGGTGTTGCTTGGTTAGTCTTTATCTAGTTTTTAACAGTAGGCACGATAGTGTCTAGTTTTGAACAAAAAGAACTATAGAAGGAAGATATAAATGTCAGAAACCCAGGAGGAATTCTTGCCAATAGACAAAGATAAAAATCACATGAGAAAAACATGATAAATCATAACGATGATGCACATGCACATTGATGCAGCGTGGAATCTGAAAAGATAAATGACGTCATCATACATATAAAATTGTCACATGGTGCAACAATTCTGAAACGTCAAGTGGCAAATATATAAATAATAAGCCAGTATTGATAGCAGCGCCCTCCCTGTAAATGTCATAATAATATGGAACACTCCAGTGTTGTTCAACGTTGCAATAATCGGGACTTTTAACCCAGTATTGGTAGTAGCGCCCTCCTGTAAATGTCATATGTGGGACACTTCAGTGGACAACAGTCCAACTATATCTTGTTTTACATGTTTTTAACATGTTGGACGCCATTCAGCTCACCGCTGACCCTCAAACAATAAAATTCTCAGCAGTTAAAAACTTAATTATTTTTACAACTAAAGGCATTGAAGACTCGTAACACCATTATACAAAAATATACTAAGATAACGTTTTATATGTAAAGCGGTTGTGATTCGTATCAGTTGCGTGTGTTTTAGTACTTGTATTAAATTGCCTAATAAAATATTTTATGTAATGTGTTCGCATTTGTGTCGTAATAAATTCATATTTAGTGCCAATTTGAAACAGTTCTAAATACAATGTATCTTGTTATTGTTCAGTTATATCTAGCTTCGTTTTTAGACGTGTACGTGATGTGAAACTATAAAGCTTAAAAACATGACACATCGGTATAAGTCATTCCAAAAGAGTTAATTGATTCATATAATCGAGTACGTTAAATAACTGAGTACTCAATGGTTTTATTATACATACTATTAGAACTTGTCATGTTTCTAAAAGGAAAAAACAATACAAAATCGTTTGTAAATGCACTATAAAAGTATGACTTGTAATTTTAAGATCACCCCGTGTACTAACCTCACTGTAGTGTTTTCACTCTCTTCCCTCTCTACACATAGCCCGAGTGCTCTTTCTCTCTCTAACCTGTGTTGATATCTCTCTAACCCCAACACCTAGAACCTGAAGGCACCCATATCACATGCTAATTTAGAGTTAGAATTCCTTAGCACAATTTAATAACGGGTGTCGTGAGAGTTGTGTATTTTAGCGCGTAGCTGTTGTTGTGTCTTAGCTTATAACTTAATGTATTATTTTTGCAGGCAAATTATTATTTGTTTTGCATTTTAAGTTTAGTGATGATGATGATGATGAAGGTTAAGTTAAAACGATAAATTGTTGTGGCTGCTAGGAAGAGGCCATACGTTTTTGAATGCTAAATGTTTTCTCAGTTGGAAGATTATTTTGTGTCTGAAAATAAAAAAAACAGCAGTAACACATTTCAAGCCAATTGCCAGAAATTCGTGACGCAAAAAACTCAAGCTCATACAAAGTTTTTTTTAATTTGTATTAATCGTAACGTATTGTTTTAATAGCCTAGTTAGCTACTGCTGGAGGATGACCCTCTCTTATTAACCAGAGACAAATGGAGGATTCGGCCCACACTTCCACACTAGCCAGACTTTGAACGCCCGAGATTCATTCATTCATTTCTCCCATAGTCACGCTCATTTTAGATCAAATGTTATTCGTGCTTGGGCATGTTGCAGCAACGAATACATGTCGGGCGGCCCGTACTCGGCGGAGTCGCACGAGCACGCCAACGATGATTCTAACGGGTTCGCCATCGTCGTCAACGGACACTCGCTCGTGCACTGCCTGCATCCTAAGCTGGAGGAGAAGTGAGTATCTATCTACTATTGTCGATAGATGTAAGGTCAACCTTATCACAAAGCAATAAGGTTGATGACTGACAAAATGCCGTTTTCGTTTATCCTGCTCAATGAGGGTTTTCGCGAATGAAAAATCCGCCAGATGGCAATACGTAGACGCGAGGTCCAAATGCTGCATGATTGGTTATTTTTGACATGACATTGACAGATACGTCAAAATCCATCAATCACGCAGCAGTCAGACCCCACATCCACGTCCCGCCATCTAGCGGATCTTTCATTCACGAAAACTCTCATTGAAATCAAGCGTAGAGAGAATAATATCTTGGATAGGAAGGGAAAATTGTATATCGTGCATCGAGATTATCCCCTGATAAGTGAAGGTTCGGAAAGTAAATCCCGTTATTCTTCAATAAACTCGGCGGAGTCGCACGAGCATGCCAATGATGATTCCAACGGCTTCGCCATCGTCGTCAACGGGCACTCGCTCGTGCACTGCCTGCATCCTAAGCTGGAGGAGAAGTGAGTATCTTTGTGATAAGGTTGACCTTTCTGCTACTCGCCATTTTGAAATAGATGCAGGTTTATGTAATCTGAACATAAGGGATCAGGAGGGGGAAATGTGTTTTTATGAGTGTTTTATGATTTATCAAAATGCAATTTTCTGATGGATTTTGTATAACAATGGAAACTTGAAACACCATCTTGTTTGTCAACTCCGTTAACTACATATTGTATACTGTAAACTCAAAGCAACTAAAAATCTACACTTGCGAGCAAAAGTATGGAATCACTTACATGAAGTTGTTTCCACGCGATCTTGTGTACAAACCAATTTGTTAATAACAAAAAAAGTAGCACCATTTTAAAGATTAAACTTTTAACTTTAAATTGATACCAAATTCATTTAAATCACACCAGTGTTTAAAAAGATATCCCGGCTGATGTAAAGAAGTAAGGAAAAAGACATGTATCAACTGTTTGATACGTCGCGAATTGCGGCCTATTTACCCTCCATAAAAGCAAGTGTTTTCGGATTTTTGCTTTCACACGTTGATCCATACACATCTCCGCTTATTTTGACACTTTACCTGGGATTCTACACCTTCAGAAGCAGCACAAATCGTTGCACTATTGCAAGAAGGGCTCAGCCAGAGGGCTGTCGCACGTCAGCTCCACATAAGCCAGTCCTGGGTTTCGAAAGTTTTAAGACGCTTTCGGGAGACTGGTGGCTTTTTTTGCAACACTCCGTGAACGAACAATTTTTGTTGGCTTTAATTCATTTTCGAACACCCAAACTCGTGACTGGTTTTTTGTTTCGGGTTCGTACGCGTATATCCATGATTCGTCACCTGATACGATGTTGTATACAGCATTTGAGGATCCTGCATGTAATCTCCCGAGAGTTCTGACGCACCAAGTAACGCGAGCCGCTTTTTGCTCTTCACAGAGCGAATGCGGTATCCATCGGGAAAACAACTTTTTTACACCTAATTGTTCATGCAAGATTATTTGTATTTGACTCATGCCAATGTCTAAAGTTGCCTGAATTTCGCGGTATATCACATGTCGATCTTCTTCAATCAGCTTACGCACAGCATCAACGTTTTCTTAGGTGACTGCAGTTTTTGGACGACCTTGACGGGGATCATCACTGAGCTTGACACGTCCACGTTGAAATTCAGGAAACCAGCGATAAATTGTGGTTTTGGATGGGGCTTCATTACCAAATGCAGAAATCATCCGGTCAACACACTGTTTTTATGTTAATCCACTTCAAAAGTCATAATAAATCATCGCTCTTGAATTTTCTCGAGTCAATTCCATTTTCTCAACGACTAAACAAGTTTGACAAGACCTTGTGATACGACCGAGAATCTTTTGTTAAATAAATAAATGGTATACGATTTTTAAAACCCTGGAGTTTGCAATTAAATAGATTTTAATATGACAGGAACAGTGGAAATATTCCATTCCCGATACTTTTAGTGCAGCCCTCGTACATGTCTTTTTCCTTACTTCTTTACATCAGCCGGGATATCTTTTTAAACACTGGTGTGATTTAAATGAATTTGGTATCAATTTAAAGTTAAAAGTTTAATCTTTAAAATGGTGCTACTTTTTTAGTTACTAACAAATTCGTTAGTACACAAGATCGCGTGGAAACAACTTCATGTAAGTGATTCCATACTTTTGCTCGCGAGTGTAGTTGCACAGTTGCTTCATATCACTATTTTCCATTCAGTCCTCCGTCGACTTTTGCAAAACATAAATGTAACGTAATATTTCATTTACAGGTTTTTAGATGTAGTTCTTCAGTGCCGATCGGTAATATGCTGTCGAGTAACACCATTACAGAAGGCAATGGTGGTAGAACTAATAAAGAAGAGCAGAAAAGCTGTCACTCTGGCCATAGGAGACGGAGCCAATGACGTATCAATGATCAAAGGTAAGCGCCCTTAAATTGAACATAAAAAAGAAGTTTCTATTTCTACTCTCTAAGTTTTAAATTCAACAGTAAATTCACAAGTTTTTTGACGCTATATTATATCTGTAAAATTGTTTCATGATACTACAAAGTACTTGATCACTTTTTAAATGTAATTAAATATCTTGCGTAAAAACAATGTCTGATTCATCTGACAGGGTATTCTGCTGTTTGGATAAGAAGTGTTTCTTTTTTACTAATTTCCCATTTATTAATCCCGTAATTTAATTCCATACAAAGAGTTGATTGATAACCACGCTGTCTTTTAGATCGAAAATGCCTTTTTATTTTTTGTTTATTTTTAGATCATTCTCAACACTATTTATTGTGCCCTCATGGTCTACATTTTCCTTATTCACCAATAACTTTATCACCACAGCGGCTCACATCGGCGTAGGCATCTCCGGCCAGGAGGGCATGCAAGCAGTCCTAGCTTCGGATTACTCCATCGCGCAGTTCCGGTTCTTACAACGCCTGCTGCTGGTCCACGGCCGCTGGTCCTACTACCGCATGTGCAAGTTCCTGAGATACTTCTTCTATAAGAACTTCGCGTTTACGGTCTGTCACTTCTGGTTCGCATTCTTTTGCGGATTCAGTGCGCAGGTTCGTAGCGTTTATTAAAAAATGTTTTAAGAGTGTAATTTAATGATTCATTAACTAAGTTCACAACTTTTTAATGTTATTTATTTTATGCATTTTGGATTTTTTCTTTACTTTCAACTTTCAAGCCATATTTACAACGGGCTTACTAACAAACATGCTAACTAAATCGTTTCGTTGTGCCCGATTTTAATTTGTATGAAGAATCGGCCAAATAAAATCAGTGTAATGTGCGCACTTCCATACATGCCCATACTGATCAACTGCCCGACTAAACTATCGGCCGACGAAAAATCGATGGTCTGCTCCTAGGCTTATTGAGACTGCACTGATTGATTTGTCTCTATTATATCCATCAGAAGTGTATTTTAGTAACGATTTTATTCTACAGTCTTTTGTGAACTAACTAAGGGACACTAAATGCTGAAGATTACTCACGTTTAATAAATATTTAATCATCACTTTCCACATCACAAATCGTTATGAATCCTACATACCATCCTCTTATCTTGCAGACGGTATTCGACGAGATGTTTATCTCAGTATACAACTTATTCTACACGTCACTGCCTGTCTTGGCGCTAGGCGTGTTCGAACAAGACGTGTCGGACGCGACCTCCCTACAATTCCCGAAGCTCTATGCTCCTGGACACACGAGCCAGCTGTTCAACAAGACGGAGTTTATCAAGTCGACGTTGCATGGTTGCTTCACGTCGCTCGTACTGTTCTTGATTCCTTATGGTGAGTTTAGGTGTAATTTTTAATTTGTTGTTATGTTAAGTGAGTCGCAGTTTTGTGTGTGAAAGAAAATGGTAGTAACTAATGGACAATGAATGAGATAATAAATGAAACTGATGGGACAGAAAAGTTCTCGAATGCTCACCAGGGACCAGATGACATAATGTAGGTAGGCTTCCGACTCAGTGAACTGACGACCTGCTGAAGGTCGCGGGAAGCACCTGGATACGGGTAGCTTAGAACCGGTCACGGTGCAAATACTTGGAAGCCTTTGTTCAGCAAAGGAATCCTTAAAAGATGAGACAAAGTAGCATCATTGCATTTTTGTTTTTTCTCTATTACAGGAACGTACAAAGATGGCTTGGCGCCAGACGGAAAGATATTATCTGACCACATGCTACTAGGGAGCGTGGTAGCAACTATTCTAATTATTGACAATACAACACAAGTAAGTTTAATTATTTATTTATCGCATTTTAGGTTGACGGTAGAAAATATTATAGTAAAAAAGAGATTTGTAATCAAGACATGGTTATTTAAATGGCCATATAAGATTACGACATGCAGGTGGCATTAGAATAGCACCAGTTCTTTAAAGAGAATTTCCTTGCGGCGCAATCTGTGATCTGTCTCTCCTCAAGATAAACTAAATACTTATGTACCCACTGATCTAAACATTTGTTAGTACTCCCGGCAAATAATAATTAACATTTATTGCATCAGACTTGTTCCCGGTCTAAACTTTTGTTTGTCGCACGCGCTGCCGGCAAATGCTTATAAAATACATTCCTTAGAATAGTGTCATTTGTTCTCAGATCGCCTTAGACACGACGTACTGGACGGTGTTCAACCACATCACGATCTGGGGCTCGCTGGTGTCGTACTTAGTGCTGGATTACTTCTACAACTACGTCATCGGCGGCACATACGTCGGCTCGCTCACCGTCGCTCTCACGCAAGCCACATTCTGGTTCACGGCTGTGCTTACGGTATGTGGAATATACATTTTGATAATGTTCTATTGTTTATTTATCGCCTCTACATATTGGGATAGCGCGTTAAGTTCACTTTTAGTACAGATTTCCAAAGGTCGAAACGAAGTAGTCCGCCAAGCAACAAAGGGGATTGCTTATTGTTCCAACATGTTTTCTCGTATGAGAGTAGCAAAGACTATTCCATGCTCATTAGAATGACCAATTACAGGCTTGAACTTAATTTGAGTTTGAATCGCTTTCAAAAGATTGCTAGTAGCGGCTACATCAGTAAAACATCAGGTCGTGCTTTATAGGGTTCCTTGGGGAGGCTTAGGTCCAGCAGTGGATTGCCAAAAGTTACAATGATGATAACAGGGCAGCGCAGGATCGCTCATTGTGTAAATCTATGGGGGGGCCTTTGTCCAGCTATGGATGACATAAGATTGAAACTAACGAACGAAAATTATTTATCATTATATTCATTACCAATGAGTATAATGTCGAATGGCATAAGTTAATGTACTGTGATTTATGTGCAAATAAGTTTTAAATCTATACTAATATTATAAATGCGAAAGTTACTGTCTGTCTTGCTTTCACGCCTAAATCACTGAACCAATTTTAATGAAATTTGGCATAGAGATAGCTAGAGTCCCGGGAAAGGACAGCATAGATTTTATCCCGGTTTTTGTAACAGGGGTAACAGGGACGCGCGCGTTGTTTTTCTATGACAGACAAAATTCCACGCGGGCGAAGCCGCGAGCTTAAAGCTGGTTAACAAATAAATGATGATGCTGATGCGTGTGTTCGTAGATGACGATCCTTATGGTGCCGGTGGTGTCGTGGCGGCTGGCGTGCTCGTGGACGCGGCCCACGCTGGGCGAGCGTTTGCGCGCGCGGCAACGCTGGCGGGGACCCGCGTCCGCTCCAAGAACGCCCTCCGCGCGCCGGGCGAGGCGCTCCGTGCGCTCTGGGTAAGTCTCGTATACTGGACTCTTATTTTAATCGAGTCCGGTAGTAGAAGGTAAAGCCTGGTCCGTGAGCACGTAGAATTTTGTCCAATGACCCCAAGCTACCCTTCCTTATCGCTCGCGTGTAATTATATTGGTCATTGGACAAAATTCTACGTGCTCACGGACCAAGCTTTAGTAGGTTTAAATTGCGTGATTATATGACCAAGTAAAACTAATGCAAGCATCCGCACTGCGGTTTTTTCCAGCGACTTATTTTTACGTACATTTCGGGCGGTCTCGCGGTTTGGTTAGGTTAGGTTTATCGCTTGCGGGAATAACCGTAGTGTGGACTCAGCCTTATGCACTTTTTTAACCTTACGACAAAGAAATAAGGTCAAAGTTGTGGTAGGCGCCTTATTGCTACTGCCATGAGCAAACATATTGCATTTCATTGCCTGACCGGGCACTGGGGTGGGGTCACAGAAAGATAAAATATAAAAAAGCGTAAAATACAAAAATTTCAAATTACAGCAAAATTGAGCTTTATTATACTCTACTTTCTTTCACTTATGTTAATAAAAGCTATAGAAGCATTCTGCAAAGTCAATGCATTTCTTCAAGAGCACGATGTGTTCATCAAAATATGAATTCAGTCAGCATCGCTTCCATAATTTGAAAGAATATGGTTTTTTATTCTGTTTCATTTCACTAACTGTACCTTTTCCACCTAACAGTTACGCGTTCGCGCACCAAGAGGGCTTCGGTCGCCTCATCACGTCGGGCAAGATCATGCGGCGCATCCCGCACGCCGACGCCGCGCTGTCGGCGCTCGCGTCGCTGCCCGGCAAGTTCCACGCGCGACCCGCCACGCCGCCGCCCGAGCCAAGAGCGCCTACGCAGAACCTCGATACCGTCGACCTATGAGCGCCCTGACTACACCACAGCGCGCTTAGACCGCTGCGGGACGTGGCGAATGACGCGTGCGTCTACACAGAAACTCGACACTGTGAGCGCAAGCGCAACGGACAATATCACGGTGCGCTCGGAATCCCAGACCGCTGTGACGTGGGTGCCGCGCACACCCGGGATTAATTAAACGCCCACTGGACACGATTCGGGGCACTCGGACTGTCGCGACTCGTGCGCGGAGCGTGATACGTCGAATGATGCACGAGTCTCGCACGCTTGGAATCCACTGAGCGCCCATTTGACACGACGCGGTGCACTCCTACTGTTGTGGCGCGTGACGCGTCGAATGACGTATGCGCCGCGCTCGCAACGTAGTGGAGTACACCTGGGATCTACTACATTCGCGCTTCTACTGTGATTCACAATAAAAAATATTACAAGAAACGCGTATGCGCCGCTTTGCGTTCTCGCAGACCGAGCGCTTGCCAGAAGCGATAACTGTACTGGTTGCCGAAGTAAGGCGCGACCATAGTGGATACCTAACTTTAGTGCTCTGCCGGCCTCGCTCGGCAGCTTGTGAACGTGTTAAAGCATTCCCATGCAATGGGAATATGCGCTGATTCGCGTTTTCATGATCAGCTGTTGAGGGAACCTTTGCGGTATGCGCACTGCTGTACTTGCGTTTCTAATTCGAGTCTGTGAACTACGTTGCGATGAAATACGCAAGATTTTTCTATAATCCTTTTTTCCTCCTATCATATTTTCTTAGACTTCAAAATGTATCTAATGTGCATTCAGACGTAATTTTGATAAACTTTTCAGAATTTACTGTTGACGATTGTGATGAGAAAAACGTAACTAAAAAACCTGAAAATTTTTTCGTTAATGTGAGTTTGTTTCTTACCCGAAATATTTATAAATTCTCATCTCGAATAATATTAGGTTACATTACTCTGCTAATGTAGATCACGGACTCGGATTATGACTAGAAGATATGTGCATTTAAAACTTAAACTGTCGACTTCGCGAGCAGTGAAAACGCCACATCGCGCGGGCGCGGCCTGCCGGCAGCTGGCTCGCCGGAGCCGGCGCGGGCGCGGCGCTCGACGCTCACTACTTTTCACCCGGGAATGTTATTTTGACGACATATCGGAGTCCCCTCCGGACCGAGGGAGACGTGCATATCCTAGTTTCGAGATTTTTGGCCGATTTTAGTCGCGACGTTCTTTCGTTTCCCGGTCGATGAAAAAGTTAGTGGAGTAGCGACTCGTCCATATTGAAGTAGATTTATTATTATTATTAGTGCCAAAGATGATCTCTTTGAAACTTCTTGTTATGTATTCAACTTTAGCACGACTTATTTATTTATTCGTCAAAATTATCGTTTCACCGATTCGAAAATCAAAGTTGTTATGTATAAAGTTAAAAATGTAGCGTTTTAACTGCATGTGAATGTGAACAATATTTGCTTTGGAATCAATTTTTTAAATAAAAATATAATTCTTATAGCATTGACTTTTATTTTTATATGACCGATAAAAAGGCAATAGGGTTACAAAACTCAGTAGCGGCTCTGTCCAGTCGCTTAATGCCTCCTTGAGTAAAAATTATAATAGTTGTACTGGTAGACTATGCCTTTAGGCATGAAGCCCGCATTGCTATAGATGACTCACGTTGAACTGTCCCGGTATTGACGGTGGCGCCCCACTGTCAATGTCATGCATAGGACAGTTCAGTATTTTGGAACTATAACATTTTTTTTAAACATCAATCACCCTGTATCACCCTTTCACGCGAGAAGAATGTATAGTTCCAAAATACAGGACTGTCCTATCGATGACATTGACAGTGGGGCGCCACCGTCAATACCGGATCGCTGGTTCCGATTTTTGCCATGTTGGAAACCATATAGTTGAACGATGGTAGCGCCCCCCTGTCATTGAGTTTGGTGGGACAGTTCAGCGTGGGTCATCTATAGGCCAAATCCTCCATTTGCCTGAGTCATGCCTGCAGTAGACTGATGAAGATGATGGTAAATGAAACAAAATTATTTTATAGGTTTCACTCACACAGACTTCATAGGGTGCTAGGCTGATATTGTAATCGTAGGTAGGATGTATAATGGGATTCCCTTGAGTTATTAATTATGACGTTTACTATCAGTCGATTTTGTATTGACGTGACGTCAGATTTTGACTTTGACGTCTATTTGTTGACTAATTTTTCTGCAGTTTCCATGCGGTGTGTTTTTCATAAATATTCTGAAAGTTTACCGTAAAAAATGAGTGAATACTATAATGTTGTTCCGTGGTTTAATAGTAAAGAGTGGTTAGATGTGTACGAGAATGTATACATTAGTAAAAACAAAACCGAAGCACATAACCTATTGCTCATCTGGAAAGCGAGATGTCCCTCATTGCCTTCTGGTATTGAGTCAACATTAACACTATTAGAAGTGCTTATACAAGATGAAAATAACGTTAGCACTATGGGTAGTGATCAGTTACTTCGGCTGGCCTACTCATCCGCAATCATGCGCTTTGTGAACCACATGCTGGATACAGAAACCGCTAAAGGATCGAGTTTGTACCAAGCTGCTAATCGGTTGGGCGTTCCAGACTGGATCATAGATTTGAGACATGATACCGCCCACAGTAACAACTTACCGTCAATTGAATTACTTAGAGAAGCGTCACATATAGGACTAGACTGGCTAGAGAAAAACTATTGGCTTAAATATAAAGAATGTATCGCAGATTACCAATCAGGTCAGAAAGATATTGGCACACCAGATATGAATAAGATGGCTACATTCATGAACTTATGTTTGTCACTAAGTTTTTGTGCCCATTCTCGATGCAAAATAAAGAATTTAGCAGATATTCCTGATACTAGTCTAGTGGAATCAATTATAAATGATGCGAGGGATATTTTTGGGGATCTTATTGACTTTTCAAATTTAAAAACAGTTTCTATTGCATCTTTGGTCAACATACTGAACAATCATTCCAAAAAGTTACTCAAATGCAAAGATGCTGCAATAAATGCAAATAAAGCATTACTCGGAGAAGATTCATTGTTTCTTTCCCTAGACATTCTTAACAGTTTAGGTGGTGACATCATTCAAAAAAGAAAATTAGCACCACAATATGTACAATGCTTTGAAGTGCTACTGACATGTTTACATACATATGATATTTTATTAGACTTTATACTAGAGCTAATCCAAGTTTCAAATAATGTTGAGAATGGAGAACAGAAATGTCTTCTTGCTGCTCTCTGGGTTTCAGAAATATTAGTAGCTTTGGAAAAATGTAAAAGAATCACAGCAAGACTAAAAAAGTAAGTTTTTCAGTACGGGTGTTGTAAAGGGGGTGCACTAAAAATAAAAATTTTATCATGATGACGACAAAAAACAGAGAACGCACTGTTTTCGAGATACAAGCGATTTTAAGAAAACTTCTAGACTTAGCAGTCGACGTACAAAATGCGCTAAAAAAATCGGCTATGTTCTGCACCCCCTTTGCGACATCTTAAGCAGTTTTTTCTTTTATAATTATATAATTTTGAGACTACCATGTTCTTGAGTGTTTAGCTTAAAAGTAATAGACCCCAGAAACTCTTCCAGACTTAATTTTAAGTAACCAAAAAAAATTAACTTTGAAATAGTTTAGCTTTGTAAGATTTAGTAAATTAGTTACGAGTAATCATTTCTAGCATAAACTTGTTTAACTTTTTTGTATGTAGGATCATGTAATCAGTTTCTTTTTTGCAATGTACAAAATGTACTAATTTTGTTTTTTTTGTTTTAGAACTAATTTAACAGAGAAAGAATCAAAGAAAAAGTTGAGATTGCTTTACCACCACTGGTTCCCAAATGAAAAAACAAGTGGACTTTTACTTGATGTGCACAAGTCAGTTCCAGCTCAACTCACAAATATTGAATTTCTTCAGCCTATTATATCTACTTATAATCCATTTCTGAAGTATTTCATAAAGGATCTGCTTAATTTAGTGGAACCATTGTTGCCAAAAGTTGTAACAGAAAATATATGTCAATTGGCAAAGTTAATATCATCTCCAGAAAAGTTTCCATCTGCATCACCCAAGATTTATACTGTTGAAGACTTGCAGATGGCAGATTATGATAAACATTTAGATTCTATTGAACAGAAAGAAATAACTTCCGAATCAAATGAAACCATGGATGTAGACGTAACACACATTGCAAAAACTCAAATGACTGCCCATGGCATTTGGCGCTTGGCTTCTGGAAGTCACAGTTGGTCCTCATGTCCTATTGGAGTGTTACCCTGGCAGCAATGAAGTTATGTGACAGATTTTGACGAAGTTTAATTTTCTATTTGCCTTCTATTTAATTAAACTGATCTAAACGTTTTTTGGTGTATTGTTGATGTCAACATTAACTAAATATAATGAGGAATGAGTAATGTATTGTATGGTTATTAAAAATAAAACATTGAATGATTTTCCACAGCAATTTTTTTATAATTTGTATACAGGTGTAATGTTTTGGTTACATTTCAATCTTGACACATTACAAGAACCCTAAAAATAAGTTGAACAATATACACATTATATTTTACAAGATCCATTAATGATTAACATATATTTAGGAAACTTCACAGTCAATTAACATACAGGAATATAAAATGACAACTTGTAAAGAGCGCAGGTATTGGTCCTTAGCAAATACACCTATAGATTCAGTATTCACAGCAAGCAACCATATCTAAACTGTAGAAATATCAAATAATATCATGTAAAAAATCCGCATCAGCACTATTCTAAATTTTGTATAGCAAGAATGTCTTACAATAATTAACAATTTGTAAATTACATATGAAAAGATATCTAAAATTATTTGCAGAAAATTTTATATTTTGTTAGGGTTTAATAAGATCTAACAGGCCTATGGAACAGAAAAGTTAAGCTTTAAACATTTCTAAGACCAACAAATGTAATATGTAACCAAGATAAAATTAACAATAGTTTATAATAAATACACAGTAAAATTGTTTTAGATAGGCACCAGTTGGGAATAAATCAATCACAAATCATAAAATTACAGTTTTGACAGGCACTTTTTGATAACTAAAATTTAGGAGATGTTAACCATTATTAAAATTAAAATAGTACCTGACTAAAATACTAACTAAAGATAATATTTACAAAATCCTTAAACGGAACTTGCCATTTATCTACATACACTTCTAGTGTCGTTAATTTCTACATATAGACACATTGCACATTCATTTTTTACAAAGTAGCCTACATCAATACCTTGAGTATATATTGTGTTAAAATGGGGCACTGAAACAACGCTAATATACCTGTATTAAATTCTTAATATGTCACTACAACTATAAACGCCAAAAGCATTAAACAAGTAAGTAGGTAAATATAGTTTAACAGTACTTTAAAGTATGTCAAAGGTACTAAAAGATTAAAGTATGAAAACCACATCAGCTAAACACTCAGTAGACATGGCCTGCTAAAAGCAAACTAGTCGAAGGCACAGAAAATACAGTAAATTACTGCGACACAACCCCACTAATAGAGAAGTTACTAATATTAAACACTCGTTAATATGTCAAAACATTGCTCAACATACTATCTAGCTAATCTCGCTATCTTTTTAGCTTATATTGATAAAGAAATGTTTTGTTTATCAAAAATAAACTGCACTGAACTATCGTTTAAAAGCCAGTTTAGTCCTACTACTATCACGGTTTATAGTGTCCCTTTTGGTGTCGAATGTATGACGAATCTTGTTGAAAATGTTGTATAATTATCTATAAATTGTATTCCGGTGAGATTCATGTCGAATAGGTCACAAGAGATGGTGTCTCACTCGGCTTAGTTATGAATATTAACTAAAAATTCATTGCTCTAAAGTATCTATAGTCATAGACTTAAAATATAAATAAAAGATGTCACAGAACAATCGTTGTCTGGATAATTAGTAGTTAAAAACTAAGCATAGAATGTGGTTAAAATATTTGTGACTTATAACATTAAAATCAATAGCTTATCAGTAGACAGTCTTTTTGAATATAAAGCAGATAAAATGATAAAAGCAAGCTAAAAGTTACTCCTGATTTATCAATATGTATAGGTACAAAGGTTGTATATTTTTGCTACATAGTTGTTTAAAAATGTATGGCAACCGGTGTGAAGCTAACATGTCATGGTAATATGAATGCCGTTTGTCCTAATATAACATTTTAAAATTATGTTAATGATTAAAACTTAATGAACTACTTTTAAATGGAACTTAAAGAATAGGTAAACTTGAAGATCTGCTGATATAATAGTTACGTAACTATGCCGAAGATGTCCAACTAGATTGCTTCAGTTGCTTTTACTTATTTAATGGAATGAATTCTTTATTAAAACAATTTGAAAACTTAATTTTGTAACTCAAGATATTCAGAATCCTTAGGCCCAGAACAGACGGTGAACCGCAACTGCAACGAAACTGCAACTGCTAGTTACTTTTGAGTTGCATCTAAGTTTCTGCCATAGCGTCCGTTGAGAGACCACACATGACGCGACCAGTTTGAAACTTTCAGTTTCAGTTTCATTCACAATAAAGTTGCAGTTGCGTTTCACCGTCTGTTCTGGGCCTTAGCAATTTAGCATCCTACTTAGGTTATACGAATCACGGAAAAATGCAACTGGAATAGACTACTTCTCAACAACAAACGACAGCGGTATTTTTAAACTCCGTATCACTACCACATAGTTACAAATCATCACAATAATACAATCTTGAACAAAAGGCTTTATCGAACACATATAACTTAGGATAAACCTTAAAGAAACAATATTGCTATTTTTATATAAATCACAATTACACAAGATTTACATATTTACACGGAAAATATATCATAAAATATAATATCAGTGCAAAGATGAATATAATTCACATAAGAAAATATGATTTTCTCGTTAACGTTTATAATCGCATGCAGTGGCTTCTGAAAGCGTACTCTTAACATAAGCTCGTTTAACTCATTAAGTACGATTTCACACTTTACTGCATTCATAATCTCAACACAAGTCACACTACGCCTTTATCAGACACACGTGTAGTACTAACTTCTTAACTCCGGCACTCGATTTAATATTATCAACAATACGTTTGGGGTTGTAGTTGACAGCACAATAATGGCAAGAAGACTCCACAACATCAATAATATGAGTCTCTTAATGCAATAACAAACATTCGAATATCAGAAAACTAACAATTATAACAAACAACTATATGGAAACAGAATCACTTTTTAAAAGTATCGAATTACGTATATAAACTTCTATTCCTAGTGGCATGAATGTGAAATACACTCAGTTGTCTAAAAGTTTGTTATTACAACAGATTTTAACTAAGATTTATTTATCTTATTATGTATCTTATTTTAATTTTAGGGATTTTTATAAGCCTCGGGAGGCCGTATTCAATCGTAAGATTTGAACTTATGTATACAAGATACATTTATTGCCCCATTTCGTTATAACTAAAATAATCTCATCTGAATTAATCTTACACGAAAAATACCTTTATGGCGCCTGCTGCCTGCCTTAGGTCATCAAAAATGCACACGCAGTTCCCTCTGAAGCGTAAAGATAGTTTCGACAAAATGGTTTTCGTTGTTTTTATAGATATGTATGCGTAACAGAGCCCCGTAAACAAACGACAAGCACAATAAACCTAAGCGTATACGCACGGATACATTGTCATACGTTTGATTTTATAAGTCTCATCGTAACGTAAACTCTGCGTGTGCATGAATGACATATAACAAGTATTGGCACGCTGTTTGATTAACTTGTTACTTCATAAGCGCATACATCGTTGAAAAAACCTTGAAACAGAACTGCTATATGGCAAGTGTCGCCGTTATTAATTGAATGTGAGAACATTCAGTAACGTAGCTTATAGTCGAGCGATGCCAGCATTGATTCTATGGTGTTCCTCATTCATTATTTAGTCGTTATTGTAATTTGTACATTACAACAAATTTTATGTTATGATAATCACGCTCTTATTTCTTGGGAGATTCTTAACCGGTAATTTAAATAACCTGACATTTGTATATCTTCACCAATATTTTAGTTGGCGCAATGCGATTGAAATCGGTCATGATTGGTTAAATCTATGAGACGTCACATGCAAGCACCATTTGTCATGCTCAACTCGATTTGACGTCACACGATACGATATTGCAGAAAGTAGATGGTGTCTTCATATGCAATAAAAATTGTGTAAAGGCTCATGTACACATTACACAGAAAACTAACGGCTGGTTCTAATGATATGATTATTCGGTGGAGACCTGGCGCAAAGTGGGATCATTCATTTTGGTGTGATTTTTTCTCAACTTGTGGAACCGTAATCGGTCGCACGATAACATTTGATTTCTATAGTGGTACGCTGGTACTTGAAGGGGTCGTTCATTACATGAATCCTTTAGTGGTCCGTGTGTCAGACCATGATGGGGTTGTCTGTGGATACCTGGCACAATGTAAGATCTGTCGCGCTGCTTCTTTTTAGCACTGGCGCGCACGCTTTTTAGCACGTGTTAAAATTCTGTATGAGAGCTTACTTACAGGAAATAAATGAGTTTTTTTTATGAGGATCGTTCCGTATGTGGTTCGTTTGGTGGTGGATGTCAGACCATGATGGGGTCGTCGGTGGACAGCTGGCGGTGTAGAAGGCGCTGCGAGCGGAGCGCGCCGGCGCTGAGGTCGTCGCTGGAACCGAACTCGCCGTCGTGGTCCGTGGTCGACAGCAGGTCGTCGTCTGACGTCGCCCTGCGTGAGATCAGAACGATATAATATGGGATGAAGAATGTTTTTATGGGATGATAGAGAATGCTTTTAGTAAGGGATAGACGTTCTTGGAGATTTTATTTGATAATTTACTACCCTCAAAATGTTGTGTACATACTACTTATATTCCGGATACGATAAATAAAATAAAGTTTACATTCCTTTGCACTCATATTTAATTTCGCTAAAGGTTAGCTTGATAAAGGTTCATACGTAAGTAGAAGATGAGCACGCTCAAGCTAAAAACTTCAATTCAAACCGAACGTTATTTAATTACTGGACGTTAATACTGGGACGTGTAGAAGTGACAATAATGTCGATCAAAGATGACTGGGCTACAACTGGCATTCACAAGAGTAGAAATAAAATGTATGAATTATATAGTCTTAAAGCCGATACGCAAGATCTGAGTGTTATAGAATATGTTAAAAATTACTCAAAAATATTAAAAAAGGTTTGTTTGGCTGCTAAATCAAATCATCTTCGAAACATGATTTTAAATTCTAATAATAAAGCTAAGGCTACGTGGAACATAATAAATAAACAAACATGTAAAAATAAATCGAAGGATAACACTTTTTCACTGAAAATCGGAAACGAAATTATAAATTCCGATACAGAAGTTGCAACCACATTTGAGACATTCTTCTCCAATATTGCGTCTGAAACAACTAAAGAACTGAATTCATCACCAGTTCTTGCAGAGTCTCTTTTAAAATCTAATGTCACCGAGTGCCAGTGTCTGCTCCAGTTCAGGCATATAGATTGTAATACAATAATTAAAACCTTTAGAGAATTAAATATGAAAAAAACTGAGGACCTTTGGGGAATCTCCGTCAGTATAATTGGAACAATTATTGACACCATAGCTCCTCACCTTGCATTCATTTTTAATACATGTATTGATCAAGGTTGCTTTCCTAGCTTAATGAAGTTAAGTAAAATAATTCCATTGTTCAAGGCTGGTGACAAATGTGACCCCTCTAATTTTCGACCGATTTCTATTCTAGTATATTTTAGCTATTTTCATAGTATAATGTCATACGGCATATTGTTGTGGGGCTCAGCCGCGGACATTGAAACTGTGTTTGTTCTGCAGAAGAGAGCAGTGCGGGCCATTTATAACCTTGGACCCCGATTTTCCTTGAAAGATTTTTTTAAGGAAATAAACATACTGACAGTAGCTTCACAGTTCATTTATGAAAACCTTTTATATGTCCGCAAAAATATAGAGCAATTCACGAAAAAGAGCGATTTGCATAACTTTAATACAAGAAACAAAAATAAACTTGCCGTTCCAAATTTCAGATTGCATAAGATTGGTAATTCATTTATGGGAAAATGTATTAAATTCTTTAATAAATTACCACAAACTGTTGTAGAACTACCCATTCATAAATTCAAAGCACATATTAAAAGTACCTTAATGAAAAAGGGCTACTATAAAGTCGATGATTATTTAAAAGATAAAAATGTTTGGGATACGTTACTGCCTAGCTCGCATAAATATTTATAACTTTGTACATTTTAAAGCATGTAAACCTTTGAAAAAGAGGCTGACAATAGTGACTGAGTTTCTTGCGCTGCTTCTTCTCAGCACTGGCCCATTTATTGTCCTGAAGCAGTGGTAGGGTTAATACTGGGACGTGTAAAAGTGCTTTTTTTAAGCCTATTTACAGAAATAAATGAGTTTTTAATGAGTTTTTTTTAGTGCTTTTAAAAGCCGACTTGCAAAAATAATATGAGTTTTATGAGTTTATTTGAAGTTCAATTTGAACAAAAAAATTATGTTCTGATGATTTCGTGACTATAAAAATTACAATTTAAACTATAGAAGTCAAGGCCAATAATATTCAAAAGAAACAAGCTATCACAACCCGTCTAGCAAGCAAAATGTCAGCTCGTTACCTGATAAGCGTGGGCAGGTTGGAGGTGAGTATGGCCTTCTCCTTCTGTATCTCGTGGATGTGGCCCACCAGGATGTGCTCCTCGGGCCGCGGCGCGCGCGAGGCCGAGCGCAGCGACGACAGCCGGTCGTTGGCCGTCAGGCACGCCGACTCTAGGGTCGCGATGTCTTGTAGCGTGCCGCGGACCTGACGAATAAATAATAATAAATATCCCTGGACATTTTACACTACGCTTCTAGTCCCAAACTAAGCAAAGCTTGTACTATGAGTACTAGACAACGGATATAAAATACATTTTTTTTCTAAATACATTATTATACAATAGAATTGATTTATTATTGATGACTTAAAAACCAAATCAGTAGTAGGCCTAGGATGCGCTTCGATACTTTCATCGAGGCATTTTATCGATTTTGCACGAAAAGGCCATTTTCTTCTAAAATCATCAATAAGATTTTGTCATGGCGCGCTTCCCAACCCGGAAAATGTAAATGCAGAATATATTTCGAACTACTATTGATATTATTTGGAAGTTCTTTTTACCCGACTGCGCCAGAAGGAGGGTTATGTTTTTCGAGTGTATGTATGTATATTTCTTTGGCACGGCCTACAGCCTAAACGGCTTGACCGATTTTAGAGTGAGAGAACGTTTATATCACTTTCCATCAGTTGAGATTTAGGCCAAGAGTTTTTTCGTTATGATAAAAAAGGCGTGGAAATAAGCGTTCTGGATGCAGACCGAAAAAAAATATGCATAAAACTGCATACCCGCCGCTGTGGTCATGGCGACGGGTTATGAGGGGCTCTCCCCGCCAGAAGGGCGGGGCCTACCCAAGAAGGGCGGGGCCTACCCATGCTGACCGTAACCAACTGGCCTATTTCGAAATCATTCAGCACGGGACTATTCCCACCTCTCGTTCCCACCACTGCAACTCCTGTGTAGCCAGGATCTACAGCTTTACCGCCATAAAAACCCAACCAATGAAGGTCAAACTTGTCCCGTGGTAAGTTAAACTGTCATTGGACCCGCAATGAAATTAATCAGAAGAACATAGGAGTTCGAAATTAAGGTTCGACTTCCCTCCAAATCATTTAGCAGTGGACGTAGCTGAAATGATAATGATGGTAAACAAAGCGTGACGTACAGTGCGCAGCTTGTCCTGCAAGATGGCCTCGAGACAGGCGGTCTGGCGCGCGATGTCGTGCAGCGAGTCCTGCGCCGGCTGCACCTTGTGTGTTCGAAGTATGCACGGCGCGAACACGATCGCAAGCGCGTTCGGGCCCATCCTGTGGAGATACATACGTTCAATACATAAGTAATATACGCCCGTATTCACAAACATTACTCACTGAGGACTCACAGTGCGCGTGGATGCACAGGGTCACACACGAAACGATCACAGAGCTATATTCAACGCTGTGCGTTCGATATAGCCAATCAGTGTCACGTATAAAATATCAATGTTAACACAGCGAAAGTAATAGGGCAGTTGACTCCACCAGTCAAAACGGAATTTTTGACACACAAAGCTGCAAAGACGCCAAACTTTCGGCGGCAAAGACGTACAAAAGCTATGACGTTACGTTGTTTTTTTTTATTTATTACATAGACAGAATACCCGGCATGTACACACGGCCACACTGTTAACTATCCATTTCCGTTTTTGCTCTCGCTCTTATCAAATTGTGATTCTTTGCGATAGAACGAGACGACATGACAGGCAATAGATAGTTAACACTGTTGCCGATGGTAAATATCAACATGACTGGTTCAAATGTCAATTTGTTTTTAGGCTACTTCCGTGCATGCATTAAAAAAATATAGCTTACCTATTGTGATCCTCCCCTAACGCCACCCTCGCCAAGTGGAAGATTAGCCTCTCCACTAGATCGAAGTTTGGTTTTGGCAACTTTTTGAGTATTGTAAATATGCTTGATACCCTTTCCTGTAACAATACATGTAATTGTTATCCAACAGACTTTAATGAATATGGGTAATGCGAGTTGCGAATGACTCCCACATTTGAGTGTTAGTGACTTATACAACTGGGTGTGAATGCGTTCCGCTCAAATGTGAGAATTATTCACAGACGTGTATGAGTTCCGCTCATATGTGAGAATTATTCACAGATGTGTGTAAAGCTCGCAATCGAACGTGAGGGATCCCACGTGCAGTGGCGGCGTAGCATGGGTTGGCACCCGGGGCGATCACCCCCCCCCACCCCCCCGTATCATGACATAGACGGCAGATTTGCCATGCAGATGTGCCAGTGAGTACTAATCTGCGCGACTTGTGTCACCCCCTGATGCTTGGCACCCGGGGCGGACCGCCCCCACCTCCCCCCCCCTTACGCTGCTACTGCCCACGTGCATGTGCCGAGTAAGTACCGTACGCACATTGCGAATCTTAGCAACCAGTTGCTAGTTGTACAATAGCAACGCGACGACGACGCCAATCAATGACAGCGCTGCGTATAATTTCAGGTGGCGCCAATTTTATTTTAGCAACCGGTTGTTAAGATTCGATGTAATAGCCCCGCCGCGGCAGGTCGCGGAAGAAGCCCTCGAGAACGGACGCTCCCACGTGCACCGCGTACGGTTCTAGTCGTTCATACGTTGTTCATGTGCATATGTTACCTGCGGGTCGGTGATCTCTGCGGCGCGGATAAAGTCGTCGTAGAGGTCAAAGGTGAGCAGCGGCTCGGGCAGGTCGCGGAAGAAGCCCTTGAGAACGGAGGCTCGCACGTGCACAGCATACAGTTCAAGTCGCTCGGCACCTTCCGCCGGCCGCTCGTCGAGTAGCCGCCGAAGTTCGCGCACCTGACGAATACGCATATTGAATTAGAGATCTGTTTTAAACAAGTTGGACTCCCTAAGGCCTCGTTGAGTTCGGCGGATTTGTCAGAAGTCGGCAACTACCGGTCGCCGAGCGCATAGAATTTCGTCCAATGACCCCGAGCTACCTATCCTTATCGCTCGCGCGTAATTATATTGCTGTCGCGACTGTGCGACGGGCGGCTGCAGTGCGCGAGCTGAATCTGCTCGGCGACCGGACTTTAGAGAACCCGGATACCACAAAGAAACCGGAGACAGTTCACCCTCACCAGTCGCCAAATGACTGGCAATCAGCTATGGTACGATTTCTTATTAGTTTTCTATGCTCGTCGTATAGTTAGTATTTTTGTTTTAATTAGGACCTATTTTAATGCTGTTTTACTTAAAATTGACACATAACGTACCTTCGAACTAAGCCCACTTTTTCTGTACAATCCTTCCGTGTAAAGCCCAGTCATTTCTATTGTTGTTATTAGTCGGTCTACTACAATTGGAATATTACTATCGCCCGTCGGAAGCTCGCTTAGCGGCACGCCAAATACCTGTAAAATGACAATAATTTACAAACATCATATCGTCATTAAAAGGAAATTAATACTGGTTTTTGACTGAGTTTATATTTACCTTTCCTCTTTTGACGACACCGAATTGTTCCCTACCACCTGCATCAACCACTCCCACGATTGCTGCAGATCTATTTACAGAGTCTTTTCTACATAATGTTGTCACCTAGAAAGAAAAATAGTATTTAAAATGTGTATTTTTACATAACAATCCCGATATTGCTATAACAATATGCATTGCATAGCATACGTGTGATATGTATACCAGTCACAGACACATATTCAAGATGTGTCGAGTTTTACTTTTTGCAATTACGACTTCCGATAAGCGTTTGGCGAATATTTTTGGTACACAGTAAGTGTTTACACACTAACAAACATAGCCTGAATTTAGGTTATCCACAAATGGTAGCAGGCCTGTTCATCTCCGCGAGTTTACATCGAAAACAAAACACGCACGATGGCCCACCTACAGGATACTATTCGACAAGGCCTCACATACGAGCGAACATTGACTCACGCAAGCGTATTCTTGTGTATGATGGAAGAAAATAAAGAAAACGGTGTACTAAATATTGTGCAGTATTTAACTGCCTAAATAATAATAAAAACACAGAATGTATTTTTTAAAGTTGCCCCAAGACACTGAGAGGTAAATAAGTAGTTTATACTATTCATGATAATTCATGGAATTTCCTCCGCCATTTTCCGCAGTTTGGCACCTCACGTCACATCATTTTACCGAAGTCAGCCCTGTAGCTTCGGCGCAGTGCCGATCACTGACGTTTGTCAACAAAATGGTGCTTGACTCTTGAGACAGGCTAAACTACACCATATTGTTAATGACATTGAGCATACATTTCTTTAAATATCTTCGCGAAGTAAAACTTCTGTACGTAGTACTTTATTATTCTGTGATGGTAGTAAGTAAATAAGATATTTTCTAGAATATTTGACAAAATCCATGTAATGTTTCGAAATAACTTACCTTCATATAACACTTCTTATGCGACGCCAGCTTGCACGACTGGCAAATAAGCGATCGCTCGATGGGCCACATGAAGAACGTTTTGCAGATCTCACACTCCGTTGGGATGTTGATCATGGACAGAATGAACGTGTGCCCTTTGTATTGGATGGGGTCATCCACCTGGAAAGGAGATTAAGTTTTAGACGATTCCACTCAAGGGTAGCTAACATGTTAGAAGTCTTTTTCATTGGAGTGATATAAATCCTTTCCAATGGTGTGAAATCAATTGTTACAGTCCATACGAAGGATGAAAAGGCACTCTTTTTTATTCATTGGGCTTTGTTTTGTAAGTAGACCTCAGAGGATAATATGTTAATATTGTTTTTATTGCACATTTTTTTTGTCGTGAGAATGAATATAAAATTAATCATAGATGATTCTCACAGCTGTAATTTAAGATAGACTGAGACACTAATCTAAATTCTAAACGGTCAAATTAAAAACCTTTCATTATGTATAGATGACCCACGCTGAACTGTCCCACCAAACTCAATGACAGGGGGGCGCTACCATCGTTCAACTATACGGTTTCCAACATGGCAAAAATCTGAACCAGCGATCCGGTATTGACGGTGGCGCCCCACTGTCAATGTCATCGACAGGACAGTCCAGTATTTTGGAACTATATTTCGGAACCTTTCATAAATGAATATACCTTTCTCTTCTTATCCTTTTTCCTCTTCGTCCTAGCTTTATCCGTTTCATGCTGGCTCATAAACTCGTCCATGAACCCTCGGAAGGCGTTGACTCCCATCGTAATGGACAACGTGGAGCCCTCGCGAGCACACACCGTCTCCATGACGTGGAGGAAGTTGCCGATCAGGTCTTTGTACTTGAGAGCAGAACCACGGGTCTCTACCACGCTGTATGTGGCTACTAAATTGTCTTTGAACTCCCGTAGCGCGTGCTTGAATACCCTGTCGACCTGTTAAGAAAGTGAGAATGAATTGTGTTAGGGGTTCAGCCTCAAATAGCAAGCCTGAAGAAAAAAAAGAGATCGTGAAAATTCCACGGAGTGTCATTCGTGGATCATCATCATCATATAAGCTAATGGGAGTCCATTACTGGATCTTCAGCTTTTTTTTCATCCAGATATTGATAGCTATCTTCTTGAGGCCGTTGATTCATCGAGTAAGGGCGATGTGGGCATCGTACTAACAGTGTTAACTGCCCATTGCCAGTCATGTCATCTCGTTCTATCGCAAAGAATCACCATTTGATGAGAGCGAGAGCAAAAACGGAAATGGATAGTTAACAGTGTGGCCGTGTGTTGTACAGACACTGTGACTTTGTAGAAAGCATTTTTACACAAACATGTAATTCTTACCTCAGACTGTTTCTCGTTCTCCGAAGATTCCATCTGGTAGATCTTCTTTGTGATGAAATGTTGCATCGCTTGTAGCTCAGTCGCGTCCGATATTATCTTGTCAGTTCTGTCCATAAACTCCGATGTGCCGGTTAGATTGAAGTTGGAACTGACCGAGCCTTTCGACTGGTCGGTTAGTAAATAGTTGGCATCCTTGAGCATGATCCGTTTTCGGTTCTTGTGGCGGCCGCGTGACGCGACGGTGACGGGACTGGAGCAGGGCATGGTGATCACGCCCTTGTTCTGGATGCATTTCGTGTGGTAAAGCTGCTTGCAGTCGATGCAGCGCTGCCCTTGCGTGATGAAAGCGTCGATGGGCTTGTGACAGTACACGCATTTGTCGTCCTTCGCGAAGCGGGTGCCTTTGCGAAACCTGTAGAAACAGAAGATTTTTAGAAAGTGTTATTTATGTGGTCGGGGAGAGAAGATTTGTCTGAATGTAATTATTTACTGTAGGTTATTGTTATTTGGTTAAAAAGGCGCACGTAACATATTTTTTCGAATATAAGTTAAACTCAAGGATAGGGAAGAATTGACAATTTAAATGATTTGAAACTTTTTTATCTCCCTTTTGACTTGGTTGGTGTTACATGCGCCCTTTTAACTATCGGGGTCAGAATATCTCATCAATTGATTTATCAATGAAAAACCCAAACATTATGAGGGGCAGAAACGAACTTATAGAAAGCGCGCCCGCTGTCGTCTCGCGTAGAAAGGACAGCCGCACCGATGCCGTTCTAAATGAGGGCTATCGTTTTTATACTTAACAGTTGGCACCCCTGGCGATTGACAGGACCTTACTCTGGCGCCATCTTGATAAGTGCAAATACGATAGTCCTCCTACCACTTTAGCGCTCACAAGTTGGCGCCACTGTCTTCGTTACTAGCAAGTGACAGGACCTTACTCTACAGTGGCGCTAACTGGTGAGCGCTAAAACGATAGCCCTCATTGATTTGATGTTGTCACGTGCGTATGTTAGAGATGAGACGTATTTACTAGAACAGATCCACACACTAGGTATTTTACAGTACTAGGCGGCACCTATTCCAATTTTTTAAATACTTGATCCACCTAGTCACACGATTTCCGACCCTACCGTCAAAGTAATAGAGGTTATTATTGCGTAATCCGTAGTCGTGTATTACGCGCACCTATAGTCTATCCAATATAGCTTGATTAGAATGACAGCTGCCATCAAAAGTAACGACATAACTCTGTAGTAGCGATCAATGAGAGCTAAATATTGGCGGACAAGAAATAATTCACGTCTGACCTACAAACAATATTTTCGACGACAGTGCTTCCAATAAAAATGTTAATTTCGTGTAAATCCAGCGTTAAATTACACCAATAAGTAGTAATTCGAAATTATAAAAATCAAGCTAGAGTATTAACGACGTCTCTACAAGGTTATCTTGAGTTACAAAAATGTTAGTGATGGGACATATCGACAAATGTCATATTAAATAAAAACTATTTTTTTAACATATTTAACTTATTTTTTTTCAACTAATTTTTTAACATATTTAAGTCAAGTTATACGTTTTTCTAAATGTTCACTATTAAAGACCAAAAAAAATTTCATTCTTAAATAATCAAACATTGGAAATCAATTACCGGTATTTTTTTGGGTATTCATAGCACCGTTGCTCTAGAAGAGATGCCCACCGCCCTCTAGCGAGAGGAAAAAACCACTGAAGAACACTGATGATAATGACTACGACTTAGGTTGTACACCCTTGACATGAATTTTAAATTTTACTGTCTTTCAATTTAAATTATAATTGTCATTTTTATGAATAAAGATATGAAGAAAAATTGGGGACATTTTTTATATCATTTTTTCGAAAACTTATCGATACATCTATGTGAACCGTACGAAACATACCCAGCACTAATCACATTCATTTGATATAGGTGTACCAGAATCTCATGGCAAATGGGGAAAATAAACTTTGTTGAGTGCAATACTGGGGAAATTGGATTAAACGATCTTGATACTGTTTAATTTTTTATTTATGACTTTAATATTAATAAACATGAAGTACGAATGCCTACCTATACATTTTAGGTATGTGTATGAAGAATGTTGTTATACATCGGGTTTTAACATAGAAACATGTCTTGAAAAATAAGTAAACTAACTGTAAATAATTTTATTATGTATCATACTTATAACTTATCATTTCATTCAGAACTAGAAAACGATTCTAAGAACTCCACTTGCATTTCTTGTTCTTCAATAAATGATCAAGTTAAAGAGGTATTTATACAGGGTGGAATTTTGTAATGCCACTTGGAGGGAAAGTACTCTTAATATTAATACTGTAGATAGAAAATTTTACTGAAAGAAAACATTCCTTTATTTTTGAACAAAAAAAAGAGAACTGCATTCAAAGATTTTCGAATTTTTTCGAAAATTCACTACTATACCTACCATACAATTTTCTGTAACATGATTAAAATAATTTAAGATTTCATGGTTTTCCTTTCATTTGATTTATAAGTTTGTTAGAGAGATTTCATCCTTTCAAGATGGTTCCTACAGAATACCAGCATTCATGTTCTGAATGGAACATGATACAAGCTGAGTAGGAGCCATTTTGGTTCAATAAATTATGTATGTAATTTAAATTGTGTAAAGCGTTTGTTTAAACCAAATAAACCATCTTTCTTTCTTTCCTTATAAATACAGTATGTAATTTTTAACAGATTTTAGTTGGTTAGATTCCCGGGTGTGGCAAGCAAATTTTTGGAAATCTTTGAATGCAGTTCTATTTCTTTTAAAAAATAAAGGAATGTTTTCTTTGAGAAATTTTTTCTATCTACAATATTAAGAGTAGGTACTTTTCCTCCAGGTGGCATTGTGGTGGTGGCTCACAAAATTCCACCCTGTATAATATAAATCGCTCTTTAAGAGCATTTCAATAACTCAAACTTGCTTGATGATATCTTTTTCAATTTTCTTTACATGGTCATAACTTATTCACTATTCCTCTGAACCAATGTATGAAATACACCTGAAAACCCCGATAAAGCAGCTATTAGGTAAGAATAATATAAAAATAAACATAATCCAGCTTCTGACGCAGTTAGGTAATAAACTAAATGTATCAAAACATTTCACTCCAACTTACTGTCAACTCAACGACGCGCTTTAAAATCAAAGATTGACTTTGAATTATGCCTTATTTTACAATACACATTGAAAACAATATGATTTGCTTGAGCTTTTTCGATTTTTTTCACAAAAATAACAAATAGGCATGAAGAGATTACAAAATATCTGCAGCGGCTGACAGATCTCTTGACTTACTTTGACAGGTGACAATAAAGCCATAGACAATGGCCATATGAAAAACACACTTTTCCAATATTTTTGTTTGCCATGAGATTCTGGTACACCTATAGCTGTCATTCTAATCAAGCTATATTAGATAGACTATAGTATTTCTCGCTAAGCTTATGTGCGAACGTAGAGATTCACTCCGTCTCTGTCTGACCAAACAAATTTGAGCGCGACGAAGCAAACGCACAGAAACGTAGTCAAACCATATTCATGTAAATAAGAAAAAATATGTATTTTTTTTTATGAAATTGATATCTTTTAAATACGCCAACTTTTAAGTTGACAGTCCTATGCCTGTTGAAGTATGAAGGGAGGAATTATAATTCAATTTCAAATTGCATTATTCATACTACGGTTGTATCTTTAAAAAAAAAATTGTATTTTAAAGTCATATTACGTGGATTAGTCCGCACTAGTCGCGTCAAGTATGCTAAATTACTACGTACTAGGTGGAATAGGTATTTGGATCGAGTATTAATAAATAATAGGAATAGGTGCACCTAGTATCAAATGGCAATGCCAGATTTAGTATGGAAGGTGGCGTCTTTTTTTTTTCGCGCGGCCATCTACCAAACTTTGTTTTTTGATTTACATAATAGTGTAATAAAGCAAACTTATTATGACATGTATACCTCTCAACTCAGTCTGAACTGAGTTACGAGCTTTAGAAGTTTGATGATTTTACATACTAGATTTGCTTTTTGCGCGCAAGTTTTGTAAGAAATTGCAACAAAATATTGCACTATTTTTTTATTGCGCTGATTCTGCTCCACACTGATGTCTGGAGCCTATAAGGGATGGTATTGTTTGTTTACACATACAATGTCACTATTTTGTTGCAATTTCTTCAAAACTTGCGCGCAAAAAGCAAATCTATAGTCTTTTTCACGTAAGATGATCCGTATGACACTTCAAGGTTATCCATGTTACGCATACTACATATGCAGAATATTTTTGAAAAAATATTTGTATTTCATTAGCAATATAATAAAAAAAAAAAATAACTACCTGTCTTGAAATATATAGTAAAATCTGAGTCTATTGATTATACTTTAATTAAATACGATGTAAAAATATTTTTTATTTAATTTACGCAATGTGTGAAACGGAATAGATTTAGTGCTGGGGTATTTCTTGTATAATAAAATCGATTATTTCCGCGGTTCATTAATCGATTGCAGTGAATACTTAGTTATTAAAAACATCACCAAAATCAACTATATTTTTCGATTATTGACTTTAATAAACGCATTGAAAATAAATTAATAGTTTTTAATTTAAAGAAACAGAACCAGTACTTTTTAGGAATCGTTTTTTTGAACACGAACCATGAAATTTTAATATTATCAATAAAAAATTGTTACAATAATATTTGTAATTAAAAAAAACATGTTTTTTGTTAAATAACATCTATACAAAATATTTCTCTAAAAGTAGGTTTTACTAACTCTTCGAAAAAAATCGATAGATAAATCGCTATGGTTTAGTTATGTGACATCTCTAAATCTTTCAAACTCGAAACGTCATACGGATCATCTTAGGTGAAAAAGACTATAGTATGTAAAATCATCAAACTTCTAATGCTCGTAACTCAGTTCAGACTGAGTTTAGAGGTATACATGTCACAGTAAGTTTGGTTTATTACACTATTTTGTCATCAAAAAACAAGGTTTGGTCGATGGCCGCGCGAAAAAAAAAGACGCCAATTTCCGGCATTGTCTTTTACCTAGTATAACCCATCTCTAGCGTATGTGCATACCTGTGTCCCGCGATCCGAAACAGCCCGTTCCCCGTCTGGCCAATGTAGTCGGTGGACCGCGGGTCGGGCGCCCTTGGCTCGCAGGGCGCGGGGTCGGAGTTGCGGCGCCGCAGGCTGCCCGCGCCCGCCACCGCCGCCGCGCCCGCCACCGCGCCCGCGCCCGCTCCCACTACGGTCGCCTCGAGCAGCGGGGACATCAGCTCTGATGCCGTTCTGAACAAAAAGATATCATATTGTCATACAGTGTGAGTCACGTTAAAGTGTACATATGAAAATAGATGAAACTAGACCTATTTTTATCGACAAAAAAGAGGTCAAAAAATTTTTGAGATTTTTTTTTTAATTTTTATAGAATTTTTTTTCTTCCAATTACTTATTGTAAAGAAAACGTAATAATTTTTAAACTAAGCTTTATATCCTGATAAAATAAAAACAGTAATAATGCTAAATAACAGGCGATACTAAAAAAATACACAAATTACACAAAAAATGCCAACAAATAATAAAAAAATATACTTTTTGAAAAAAAGCTGCTTTTAAATTCGTGTTTTTTTGGTTATTTGATAAATTTCTCCAAAAAATGCCCCTATAACAGGTGATTTTTATTACTTTTTATTATTCTCTATCGTATTATCTTTGTAAAACCAAAAATCGCACGTCTCTATCCCTATCACAACATTTGCTATGATCGTTTGAACAAAGGCCTGTCACCACATTATTCTCCGCTACAGGTAGAGACAATTTTAATTTTAACTAAAATGCTTATTTTACTTCGAAATCTTTTGTTTTTATTTGAAATCTAACTTGTCTTTATCAAAATTACAAATCTAGAGCCATTTTCATTTTCGTTGTTAACGAAGCGTTGAGTGGCGCGCCCGGAGAGGCTTAGTTCAAACGATCATTGCAAACGTTGTGATAGAGATAGAGACATGCGATTTTTGGTTATACGAAGGTAATACGATAGAGAATAATATAAATTAATAAAAATCACCTATTATAGGGGCATTTGTTGGAGAAATTTATCAAATAACCAAAAAAACACGAATTTAAAAGCAGATTTTTTTCAAAAAGTATCACTTTTTACAATTTTTTGGCCTTTTTTGTGTACTTTATGTATTTTTTTTAGTATTGCCTGTTATTTAGCATTATTACTGTATTTATTTTATCAGGATATACCGCTTAGTTTAAAAGTTATTACGTTTTCTTTACAATAAGTAATTTGAAGAAAAAAAATTCTATAAAAAATTAAAAAAAAATCTCAAAAAATTTTTGACCTCTTTTTTGTCGATAAAAATAGGTCTAGTTTCATCTATTTTCATATGTACACTTTAACGTGACTCACACTGTATATAAATTGATTGCCAAGATAGCGTTATGATTTCCTGTGCGAAAATGTGGGCGTAAAATAATACAATATCTCTCGTTTAGAATCCTACAGAAGTTTATCAATTTCCTAGGAAATTTGTAAGTTTACGGTTCTTGTTATTTTCCGGTAAAATGTCTAAATCGATGCAACACATTTATAAAAACTATGTGCTTCTTAATTTAGTACCATTAACATTTAATACATCTTAGATTAGATGCAATGTTGGTCTAGACTAGAATTGTTGAAATTCTGCCCTGTTTATAGTGAGTTAGGGAATCAACAGAAACAATATGAAAATAACGATAATAGTGTATAGATGACTTTCGCAGATAATCTTGTCACCTGGCATTAAGTCCGCCACTGTACAGTTGTATGTGCAAAAGTGTAAATAAATAAAACATAGTTTGCAACTCATCTTATAAGTGGAAATTAAAGTTCCTATTCCTCAGGCCAACTTTTGAAACTCACCGCTTAATATCGAGGTGTTCAGCGGATGCACTAGCGGCGTGTGCGGCGTGCATATTATTATGCGCGTGGGTCGTTAGCGCCGCGTCCGCGCTGTCGAGCGGAGGCACCCGCGTCGTCCGGCGCGGCGAGCGGCGCGCCGAGCGGGCCGGCGGCGCGGGCGGCGCTTCCACCGAGCGGGCGGCGGTTGAACACGCTGCACAAGAACATTCGAAAATTATTTGAATTAGTTTTTCTACTTTATTAACTTCTCCGGGGTTAGCGACGTGGTAGAAGTGATTGAGAGCCGTAATAGACATGTTGACACCAGCAATCAATTGACGTACTTTTTAAAACTGTCAAAACGAAAATCTCCCATAGATTTTGTATGGCACTACAAGCAAGTGACGTCACTATTATGTCAACTCAAATAAACTACTTTTTTCAATTACAATGCGACCAAAAATCGTAATTGGGTATTTGACACCATTCGCCAATAATTCTAAACCACAACTTTTTAAAAAAGACACTTGTTTCTGGTCTTAAAAACTTAATTAATTTTTAATTACCTGTAAATTACGATTTTTGGTTGCATTACAATTGAAAAAAGTAGTTTCATTGAGTTGATAAAATTGTGACGTCACATGCTAGTATTGCCGTACAAAATCTATGGGAGAGTGTCGTTTTGACAGTTTTAAGAAGTACGTCAATTGATTGGTGGTGTCAAATACCCTATTTACAGGTAATTTAAAATTAATCAAGTTATTAAGACCAGAATGAAGTGTGTTTTTAGAAAAGTTGTGATTTCTAATTATTGGAGAATGGTGTCAAACTGTCCATTGGAGATGGGCAGGGCACATTGCACGGATGAACCAGGATCGCTGGGCCAGAAAGACCCTGGAGTGGAGACCCCGCAACAACACCAGCGGCAGGGGAAGACCGTCTAAACGGTGGACGGACAGACGATATCCGGCAACAGGCTGGAGTGAACTGGATGCGTGTGAACAGGGACAGAAGTCGGTGGAGGGTTAAAGAGGAGGCCTATGTTCGAAGGCGAACCCAAAGGCTGCTATAGATAGAACTTCGTAGTAGCGTTGTACGTCCACCCAGAAGGTGACCGACCTCATAAAGGTAGCAGGAAGGCGCTGGATGCAGGCTACCAACCGATCATTATGAAAATCATTGGGGGAGACCTATGTTCAGCAGTACACGTCCAAGGGCTGAAATATCCTCCTATGATTAATTTTGTTGCAGTTCTAATGACAGTTTAGCTTTCCCCGAGACAAACTTGACCTTGACACGAGGTTGGGTTTTATTGGGGGTCAATCAAGAGCAGCGATGGGAACGGTAGAAATGGTATTAGTCAACTTTTAGGTCAGAGAAATATGTAGAAGAAGAAATTGTAACTAGATAGACAATCTTTGTTGCACAAATATAACACAAAAGAAATATAACACTGATTCCATATAATTTAAGCGATGTTATTGCTAGGAAGCTATCTATTTCAGACAACCCGAGGAATAGAAAAAAGATTGACAAAAGTAACAGTTTCTTGCGCAGCTTCATCTAGCAATAAAACATTAAAATACAGTTAAATAACACATAATATTAAAATATCTACATACCAAAATAGTAGAACAAAACTTTCACACAGAAGCTAACATATCCCATGAGCACAAGAAAAACCAACACTCCCAAAACATATAGCAAGATTCGTTTTTCGTAGCTTGTTTTATCTTTTTTCACTTTTAACACCGACATTGTACCGCACCAACATTGATAGAGAGAATAAATACGTCATCACAAAAAATGGTTATCACAAAGGTACATAGGCACATTAAATAATGTTAAGTAAACAAAGCGAAAGACAAACAAATTAGATAAAATATAAAGCACTCGACGTGATTATCGAACCTTTCAATGGTAATTAGCGCGACAAATAGCTTTTACTTTATAAAAGTACTGTGCTCGTTTGAGTCTCCATCGGTAATGCGAGTCGAAGGTGTATTTGTAAACAATGTATTATTTACAAATAGCTTACAAATTCGGCGCGAGTTAAGCAGGGTGCGTCAACTTGCTGCGTTCATGCTCTTTGTATTGTAAATAACATTGTTTTAAAATGAAGGGCGCACGCGACGGTGCGTGACGTGTTGATGCGATCATTAAAGAATGAACATACTCAATTAAATACCTCAAGTAATCATTTGAAGATATTTCAAAATAAATATAATATTGCAATCGATTCTATTACCAATTATTCTGAAATCTGAATAAACAGTTTTCAGATTTCGTTTAAACGAAACTAAAAAATAGTTATAACATTGCTCCAAAGCTATTTTGTAACGTTTTCTAAAAAATCTACAGTATTCACGGAGTTAGCGAGTGCAGCGCTCGACCCGCTTCTAGAGTGCTTGTATTCTACCTGTGTGCCATGCCTATAGTGTGTAGTTATTTACTCACCTGAGTTTGCGCAGTTACAGTGACAGCGGGAACGGGAGATGGTGGTGTCGCAGCGAGTGTAACACACGCTCTGCCTCTAGCGTGTTGATATTCTACCTGCGCGTTATGCCAATATGAATGGTGGTAAGAGTGACCTACCTGTATAGTTACGCGGCTGAGTTTGCGCAGCGACGGCGACGGCGGGTACGAGCGCAGGCGGCGCGGCGGAATTGGGCGCGTAGTGGTGTCGCAACAACTACAGCGCAGGCCCCACCTCTAACGTGCCAATATTCTACCTGTCTGCGCCATGCCTATAGTGTCTACCTGTGTGCATCATTCCTATTTTGTATCGGGAGTGACCTACCTGTGTAGTTTCGCGGCTGAGTTTGCGCAGCGACGGCGACGGCGGGCACAGGAGCGGGCGCGGGCGGCGCGGCGGCGTCGGGAGTGTCCTGTTTCTAAGGTGCTATTATTCTACCTATACGTTATGCCTATATTTGCTTACCTGTATAGTTTCGCGGCTGAGTTTGCGCCGCTACAGCGACGGCGGGCACAGGAGCGGGCGCGGGCGGCGCGGCGGCGTCGGGCGCGTCGTGGTGTCTCGCTGGGTGTCGTCGCACGGGCGGCAGCGAGTGCAGCGCTCGACCCGCTTCTAACCTGTCTACCTGTGTGCATCATTCCTATTTTGTATCGGGAGTGACCTACCTGTGTAGTTTCGCGGCTGCGTTTGCGCAGCTACAGCGACGGGGGGCACAGCCGTGGGCGCGGGTGGCGCGTCGTGGTGTCTCGCAGGGTGTCGTCGCACGGGCGGCAGGGAGTGCAGCGCTCGATCCGCTTCTAACCTACCTACCTGTGTGCTTCATTCCTATTTTGTATCGGGAGTGACCTACCTGTATAGTTACGCGGCTACAGCGACGGCGGCTACAGGCGCGGGCGGCGCGGCGGAATTGGGCGCGTAGTGGTGTCGCAACAACTACAGCGCAGGCTCCACCTCTAACGTGTCGATATTCTACCTGTCTGCGTCATGCTTATAGTGTGAGTTATTTGCTTACCTGTATAGTTTCGCGGCTGCGTTTGCGCAGCTACAGTAACAGCGGGAACGGTAGAGGACGCAGGTGGCGCCGGGCGCATCGTGGTGACGCCCTGCCACTAGCGTGCTGGGATTCTACCTGTCTGCGTCATGCTTATAGTGTGTAATTATTTGCTTACCTGTATAGTTACGCGGCTGAGTTCGCGCAGCTACAGCGACGGCGGGCACAGAAGCGGGCGCAGGAGTGACGGCTTCGGGCGCATCGTGGTATCGCAGCGAATGTAACACACGCTCTGCCTCTAGCCTGTTGATATTCTACCTGTGCGTTATGGCAATATGAATTGTAGTAAGAGTGACCTACCTGTATAGTTACGCGGCTGCGTTTGCGCGACTACAGCGACGGCGGGCTGCGGCGCGGGCGCGGGCGGCGCGGCAGCGTCAGGTGCATCGTGGTGTCGCGTGGGATGTCGTCGCACGGGCGGCAGCGAGTGCAGCGCTCGACCCGCTTCTAGCGTGCTGCTCGATATGCTCCGATGGTATACGACTGGCGAGCCGCGTCTGGATGAAACGGTGACGATCAGTGATAACGAAAACTGAGGTGGAATTGTGTAAAGCAATCGTAATCATTTGACAGTTCATAACGCACGATAAAGTCAGTTAAACAAAAAGCGTTTGACAGAATAATCGTATTATTTGTCAAACGCTGATTACGATTGCTTTACACAATTCCACCTCTGTCTTTGAACCTTCGACGTAAAGTTTACTCTTCATTATCATACTCATCGCGACGTTTGTAATTGAGTTACTCGAATTAATGTTAATCAAAAAAGTAATCATACGGAACTAAGGATAATTCCATACCTTGAGTCATTATTTTTCGTACTGTCGGAGTTATCTGCAGAGCTCCACCTGTCTATGCACTCTGATAGGTACTCCTCGCTCCCACTCGCCATGGATTCCATTAGTTCTTCCAATTCTCTTTCTCTTATCTAAAAGAAAGAGGTTCTCAGTTAAGACAACAAGAATACTTTCAGCATGGGTTAGCCATTAGAATGTAATGTCAACTCCTGTTAGAATAAAGCTATCTTGAACAAGCACCAGTCTAGATTTTCACCTTATTTTTGCCCTGTAGATAGCTCTGGTCTATCCTAAGCCACAACCACTCATTGGCTAGGTCTTCAGCCGTGATTTTCTTCGGGAGAGCGATGCCGCTTTGAGGGTACTTGGATTGGTTTACACACCAGTTATCTTCGGGTGACGATTCGCTAGGTTCTTGTTGGCCGATGCTGAAAATATTTGGTCGTTTAAATAGAGAACGGAATACAACTTTTATCAGAATCCGAATCGAAGCCGGTGTTTGAAAATATTGACCGAAAATAATCCAAAACTTTTGCCACACGATTACTTCAGCTTCGATTCGACCTTTTTTATCAAACCAAACTAAAAAAAAACACTCAACGCACCCACACTCTAGTTAGACATGCTAGAAAATGGAGATTTAGGTGGAGATAGTATGAGAGAAGTTGGATATAATAAAATTATATGAAACTCATGATTCCCAGATGTATGACCAATTGAAAAGTCTCAAGATATAATGATCCCATGAAAAAATTACATAAATCATAGCCACGATAAACAATTTTGAAAACATGCGTAAAAAAAAGAAAACTCCAAAACATCTAAACACCGATAACTCTACACAAGTACCTCGTACTGGCTTGCTTCAAAGGTATTTCATTAACGTTTTGCGTTTTATAAAGTTTCTTCTTGCTATACGAATCTTCATCCGTGATTTCTAATAATATGTCCTCAACTTTTTTCTCCCAACTGTAATGAATAAAGTGACGTCACTTCTGTTCTATAGAGTCAGCGGTAGACACTTTTGGGTTAAATTATCGAAGACTTTCTAGTTTCTACTATAAAAAAGGTTCAATTCAAATTATTTAAAAAATAAGGTAACGAACCTCGCAATCGGCAAAGATTGTGTCGCCCTCAGTTGTCTAGCCTTTTCTACGCTGTCCATGTTTCGCCGCCTGCAATGAATACATATTCACATAACATCCAGCTGATATTTTAGAGCGTAGTTAGAATAACATGCGTGTGATTGTGTGATTGATAATTAGCTCCAAAGCTTCAGTTTTGAAAATCGAACTCATTTTTTCTCTTTCTATTTGATCGAATTTTAATTTTCTTTATTTCTTTCTCTCTTTAAAACGTAAGGGATAGAGTTGCACATGTAAACATTTTAAAATGAAATTTTGCGTTTTGTCACTTTTTTTCGGGATATTTTGCCGACGACAAAAGAAAAAAAAGCATCAGTCTATCAAATAACTTACACATGAATACCAATGATGTCTTTGATTTGCTCCAGGCTGAGGATGTCACATTCAGGGTCGACTTTCAGTTTCGCCTTGTACGCCTGCGTATTGTCATGCTGTCAACACAAACACATACCACGTATGTACAGAAGTGTGCTCCACGACACTTTGGGCATGGCAAGTTAGAGTTAGTATGGATGTTAAAATATTCTGATGCAATACTAATTTGCTTTTACGACAGTGATAGTTGTGATCATTTGGAATAACTAGATTCGATAAAGCTAGTAAATGGAAATCCTTTCTATGAACGACTTCAAAACGCGACTCTGCCATAGATTTTGTATGGCAAAGGGGATTATGACGACACCAGTTGGCGAACTCGATTTACAATTTTATTGATCTCAACTACTAAAAATCTAATTATGCAATGAACGAATGAAAACTAAGTTGATATTGTGTTTTATTAAAGAATTTGCCTTGGAACATGGTTTCAACTACATACTCAATTTCAGACAGAAATATGTAGCGTAGTTCATTTTCTTTCAAAAACTTTTGTATATTTGATAAGGCACAAACACACTTGCGCCGATTTTTTTTACATAAGAATAAAGCCACTAGTTATTCCAAATCCAACAACCGAACATCAATTCAAAAAAGTCATCCAAACACAACAACACCACTTACCGTGGGCGGCGGCAGTTTCCTCCTCAACTCGGGCAGAGTTTTCCTGAGCAGGTACCCTCGGACCGCCGCTTGGAAGGCCACGACGCCGCCTCGAAGACGCTGGTACCATCGCCGCACGCGACTACCGCGAAACCACGATTGCAGTTTGATGGCTGCTTCTTGACGGATGATCAGCCATTGCCTTTTGGAGAAGCCGGGAGTTTAATTGTTATTTGTTAACCTAAGTTTCTTTTTGGCTGCGACTTTAAAAAGATAAATTCAATAAGTATTGAAAGAAACATAAGACAATGTAGTTTTAAAATCATAGCTGCTACTTTAAAACTACACATATCTAAATGTCCGTAATTTCGGGTTTATTTATATCTCTTGCTCACGCCTGCTTCATCTGGGCAATTCATCAAGGGGAAAAAATCATCTGAAGATTCAAATGGACATCGCCTTGTGTAGCATAGCCCCTATCAGGCTATTTATATTCCGTTTGAGTAGCAAAATCATCCTTTCAAAATAAATAATGACAAACCAAATGTTACTTTACGTCTTGTAAGAGTCAAAAATACAAATAGAAAACAATAGTACGCGAAATAGCCCAATCCCTTTCACCTTTCTTTTCCCAAGCACATGAAACCGTCCCCTTTTTCCATTTTTTTCCTATACTCGGCGCAGACAGGCGGTGTCATAATAAAACAGTGCATAACCAATGTGAGTGCGAAAGAAAATGTCTTTTAACATTGGTTATGAGTGATGTCACACAGGCAGGTATAGCTTGTTTATAATACATAATAATTAATAAAATATTGGCGAGTGTGTATCTCTGTTTCTATTTATGTTTAAAACTACTTATGGCCCCGCATGCCACGAGTCTTTGCGTCGAGTATAATTTTTTTTTCTCTTTATTTGGGACAAGAAACAGTTACATTGAGGGCTTATGTACTAAATCTTAATAATTTGAAAATTTTGTAACAATGTAACCAGCACCATTGTCCACAGATAGGATCTAAAGTAGTAAATTGCAGAGCTTCAACAAAATTAAACAATTACTTAATGTGTAAATGATGTTAGGGCTGCGGCAAACTTTTACAGTACAGTAAAATTCGGCAAGCTACAAAATGCAAAAGAAAAACCGATTATTGCATCCTATGAAAAACTAAGTAGCTTATACATAATATTATAGTTAGGTAATGACAATAACAAGAAGTCACACTAATAATAAAACGGCGAAAGTTTGCGAGTATGTAAGTGTGTATGTTTGTTACTTCTTTACATCTAAACGGCTATGGAGCGATTTAATAAAATTTAATAACATTCACCCACCTGCAATAGGTCTGTATGACGAGCGAGGCGCGCCGCAGCGCGAGGAAGCGGCGGCGCTCGAGCACGGCGCGGAACCAGCGCTGGATGGTAATGATTGACGCCATGATCTGCTGGTGCAGCCGGTATTCCAGCTTCGTCTGCTCGCTTTCGCGCATGAAAATTTTTGTTGCACCTGTAGACATGGAAATGGTAATGAGACATTCAAGTTTTTTACAGTTGTGTTGTTAATCTGTCAGTCTGCAATAGATTCAAAAAGAGTCCTTGATTCTTTTGATTTTATGACGCGTAATATCTTTTAGTTAGATAAGAGACATGTACATTGTACAATCGTAAACACGCTGTCAGCTCGAATAATCGCGGTCCGTCTATAGCGCTTCGAGCGAAGGAATACAGTGCTGGCGGTTCAATAAGTGTCAAGTTTTTTTTTTATGCTAGCCAAGGCAGGTATTTGACCGCAATCGCACCTGGTGTTAAGTGAGATGCAGTCTAGGATGGTGAACTGAAGTGTAATGTAATACGCCTGTACGTGTTAATCTAAAAGAAACATGCATAGTGGCGAGCACGGAAGGTCCTCAAGTCAGCTGCCGTAAGTCTTCTAGGATACTGGCGTGACGTCACATATCATGTCATCAGCAGGATGCGGTACAGCTGAATGAACTCGTCTCGTGAGGCTCACATTGCAGCCGGCCCGGCGGACGTGACGTCACACACGCGTCACACTCACCCAGCTGGTAGTTGTCGCGGTCCAGGTTGAGCGTGGCGAGGAAGTGCCTGACGTCGGCCTGCGAGCTGAGCAGCCCCTTGGGCAGCAGGATGCGGTACAGCTGGATGAACTCCTCGTACGTGAGGCGCACGTTGTAGCCGGCTTGACGGATGCGCACAGTTTCCAACATTCCGGTGTACCGTAACTGCCGCTGGACTGTTTCCTCGTCGAACACGTTCGGGATTTTATCGCTGTTCGACTTTATACATCTGTGAAAGAGTTATGTAGCCTGTCAGCGACACCACTATTTCGTTTTATTTAAACATACTTTATGCCACGGAAATGCGTACCCGGACTATCTGGGACAGTATACCAGAGTCAGAGGCGGCGTAAGGCGTAGGCGACGTGGGCCACCGCCTACGGCCTCGCGGTAAAAGGGGCCTCGCGCATCAAAAATTTTGAAAAAATGTATACAAGGTGGAGATGACAATATCACAATACGAACATTGACTATTAAATATAAATTCTTGATAGCTAAACAATGTAGTTAAAAATAAAAATATATTTTTTTCCAAACAAATTCAGCCATAATCAGACACAAAATTAAGCAACAACACGGTTTTAAGTGACGAACATTATTCTTTGGCGCAATATTCCTTTAAAAATAATCACTGAATCAAGAAATCAGAAACTGTCAATGTATACAGGGTGTTAGGTAAATGGGTATATGAGCCGACACTAGCCCATGTTAACATAGGCATATAAATGGTATGGTGAAGTCAAAAATTTGATATCATGATTTTATTTTTTTAATTTTCATACAAAATAAATTTTATAAAATCCTATTTGTATGAAAATTAAAATAATTAAAAAATAAATTTTATAAAATCCTATTTGTATGAAAATTAAAATAATTAAAATGAAGATATCAATTTTCTGACTTCACCATACCATTTATATGACCATGTTAACATGGCCTAGTGTCGGCTCATATACCCATTTACCTAACACCCTGTAGACCTTTGACCGTTTTTTTTTATTATTTCATAAAATCCGTCTTCAGGTCTCCACAGAACAAGGCCTCGCGAAATCTGTCTTGCCCACATCAAATTTAGGTCTTGCCCCGCCTCTGACCAGAGTATACGATGAATGACACAGATGTCATTCAGAAAGAGAGTGGCATATTGAAGTTACATTGGATGGTGTTTTTTTTTACATTTGAGTTTTTTTTCTAGTTATCAAAGAGCATTTGGAAAAACATTGACCAATTCAATAGACAGTTTGACACCATACCCCAATAATTCGAAACCACAACTTTTTAAAAAGACCATTCTGTAGGCCTAAGATGCGCGCATCGACAATGACATGATATGATAAGACAATTTTCGATCACGTAGATAATTTTATCATTTTCCCTAACATGGGACCATCGATAGAAAAGTCTATCGACCGCTATCGCGTGATAACCGAATTGTTGCCATATTAAGAAAAAATTGCGTTATTATGTTGGCCAACCTTGAAATATTTTAGCTCATTCGTTCAATCTCGTTCATTTCTGCTACTAATTCGGCTAAAAACACATATCTTAAAGCAGTGAGAACGTCATTAAAAAAAAGTTATGTCAATTTTGTTGACATTACATGACTGCTTGATTGTATTTGTTTGTGTTTTTAAAATTGTATTTTTATGTTTCCAGTCTTATTTTTAATATTTCTAAAGTACGGAAAATATCAAACGAAGAGATAACCAAGTTAAAGAAAAACAATGAAGAATTCCTAATCATACCGATAGTATTATAGAATGAAGTCTTCAAAATTAACAGAATAACCGAACTCCACTACCTACCCCATAATGCGAGGTTTACAGTAATTATTCAACTTACATGAAGCAGTCAGAAAGTTTATTGAGATTTGAGAAATAAAGTTACACTCATAAGTAGCAAAGTAAGTACCTAAAGTCTAAAATATTAGCTATACTCCGCAGATCTTGATTTTCATAAGTAACAGCACCGGAGAAAAGGAAAAATATCTTTATTCCTACAAATAAGCTTTCACCTTCTTTCCTATATTTATTTCACATAGTTCTTTCACCGTGTAATAATACTGTGATCAATATTTTGTATGTAAACTTAAAATACAAATAGGATTAAGTAAATGTTTCTATTTATGAACTGTTTATGTAATTGTAATATTTATAATTGTGTTTAAATAATATTCTTTCTTTTTTCAGACAGTGGATGAAGAAGTGTGGGATTATGAGTGATTATTTCATTCTAAAGCAGACATAATCAAGTCTTGCTCACTATCATGAAAATTTACAATAACAATCAGCAAGAAAAACTTCAAGGGTACTGGCTAGGCTAACCAATTCATGGAATTCTGTTTGTATTTGAAATTATAAATAGCTATTGTAAAACAAAAGTTTTCCAAATAAAGATTTTGTAAATAATGGTTGAATTATTTTGAAATTACACTGCAATAATGAATTTATTGCCTGCGTCCAGCGCCTTTCTGCTACCATTATGATGTCGTCGGTCCACCTTGTGGGTGGACGTCCCACGCTGCGTATTCCGGTACCCGGCCTCCACCCCAGAACCTTGCTGCCCCATCGGGCAACATGGAAAGCATTGGGGGAGGCCTAAGTTCAGCAGTGGACGTCCTATGGCTGAGATGATGATGAATTTATTATAATGGAATAAATTGTACAAGATTATCATCCTGTCACATTAAAGCCCTTAAAAAAGACCACATGGAGGAATTAGATTGATAGTAATGTGGAATGTATGTATGGTATCACCATCAAGTTATAAAATTAGTAAAATTCATTTATTCTCATTGTTATTATAGCAAGTTTGATTACACATCCCACCCAATGCTAATTTCTGACAATGACCTTGCCACTGTTTGATGTAGACACAAGAAGCTCGGTCACCACATTCCGCCCCATTTTCAATAATTTTACAAGATTATGTACAGATGACAGTAGGTACTTAAATCAAGCTAAACACTGTGGGGTATCTCACGACATTTGCAACTTAATATGTATTGTCTGATGTACTGTTGACTGCCTACCTAAGTAGGTAAGTAATGGTTATTTTACAAGGTAGGTAATGTAATAATTAATATGTGGGTGGGACTGTGGGAGCACTAAGATTTTGCAGCTAGCGATTATAAACTGTCGCAAGATTCGCCTCACACTGATAAACTCTTGAACTAGAACTCAATCTCCACCTAGAAGTAAAAGTATCACAAAGGTGCTAGATTCCTTTCTTTGAATTTTACTAGCCTCAAATTAGTCGTAAAATGTCATTTACCATTATAAATGATAAATAAATAGAGTTAAAGTAGCTTGCAAAAAAGTTAATCTCCTATCGTCTTGCTATCGTGGGCAAGGATCGAGGACGATAAAAACACCACATCCTATCCTATCGTGATGTCAAAATATGATATAGTTAGCGCTTCATGTTAGGGCTTGCCAGGTTTATCACAAAAAAAAAAAACAAATCTATCACTATCACATTTTGACAGATGACATGATAATTTTCGGGGTGCCATGTTAGCGCCGGTAGATAAAACGATATAGTGACGTCAAAATCGATATAACGCCGCGATAGCAGTTTATCACGGCGCGCATCTTAGCCCTGCTGGTCTTAAAAACTTAATTAATTTTAAATTACCTGTAAATTACGATTTTTGTTCGCATTGTAATTGAAAAAAGTAGTTTAATTGAGTTGACAAAATAGTGACGTCACTTGCTTTAGTGCCACACAAAATCTATGGGAGAGTTTCGTTTTGACAGTTTTAAAAAGTACGTCAATTGATTGGTGGTGTCAACGTGTCTATTACAAAATAATGTCAACAAACCTGATAAAGAACGGATTGGCCTGGTTCAGAGTCTCCATCAACGCAGCAAGCGAGTGTTGGAACTGTGCCCCCACTGTTAACGGCTGTTTCCGCTTGCCAGTGGGCGCGGCGGTACGGCCCGCTAGCGTCTTCACGCTTTGCAAGTTCTTCAGACCTTTCTTCGCGCGTTCCCGAGGCCTGAACGACTTATTTTTCCTGTACAAATCGGTAGGCTATGTTTATTACAAGTCTTAAAGTTCGCACGAGTTTGCGTTTTGCTCTCAATTCAACTTTTTTTATTACAACTTTTTGAAAAATTTACGCTATTATTGTCAGTATTGTGTCTTGATGAGCAACTTTTCAAAAAAGGTTTGAGATCTTGTGAGAACAAAATGCAAATTCGAAACGCAATAACACCGACCACCGAAGAAAATAGAACTCAGCTACGTGACTATAATCTGTGGCGCCTGTATTTACAACATGCGGCTCGTTCGAGACGTGAAAGTGTCTTCATAATCTTGCTTAAAGTGCTTAATTTGCTGGTCGTAAAAGCTGACTTTAAAATCAATAGAAAAATTACAAATAAAACATCAAATATTGCGATATAAAAAGCATTTCAGCTATAAAAATATCTACATATACTTAAAATCCCAAAACGATTACATTGCAAAACTATGAAGTTCCCTATTTTAGTGACAATAGTGAATACCATTCATTGCAATATGCAAATAACAAAAAGTGATCAAACCACATGATGTCAGAAACAAAACAACATAAAATCAGAAAAGAAAGGCACGGAAAATTAAAACCCATAGCCAACACCGTGAACAGAGTGAGAGACCCCAACCGATACACGCTGATTCATCAAACAAAATGTTATTTTTATATTTTCCAAAAGTGAGATTTTATCCATGACACTGCAGTACATAGATGGGGCTTAACCGATTGAGTCCCAGACGGCATTAATTAATGTCATAACAATTGATTATCTATTGTGTCTAGATTCGCGGAGCTTGAAGGATTAAACATAAAGCTTCACAGTAAAATGAAACAATATCACAGTTAATCAAAAAAGGAAAGTTGTCGGTACTTCACGACAACATAAGCTATTTGTTTGTTTATTACAGTTGCAAGTGTCAGTGCCATGAGTAAAAATGTAGATAAAGTGGTCGTTTTGTTTGACAATCGGGCATGTGGGAGCGTCAGGCGTCAGGCGAGAGAGCTTGGCGCAGCGTAGTGGCGGCGGCGACGTACATGACGATCTGGCTGGCGCGCTGCATGACGTCGGTATCGTCGAAGCGGCGCGCGCCGCCCCTGTAATGTTTGTGGTCGGCGCGCGCGTCCGGCCGCTTGCTATCGAGCGGCCGCGGCGGCGTCTCGCGCGGCCTAGCCGGCGCCCTGTGCGGCGTTCTGTGCGTGGGTATTTATCGGGCGAAAAAGGAAATTAGGGTCAAAATCGATTAACAAAAAATAAAAACGAAAGACGGTGGGGTGACGCATGCATGACTTCTCGTGAGGGATGTGTGCTCGACTAGTTCTATCAGATTACGATCACTATAGATTCGGTTTAGAAGGATTCGTGTTAAGTTGACCGTTAGACTACGGTGCGTTGGTACGCTTCTAATAGGCCTATGCAGGCGTAAACTTGCAACAGAGGGTGATAAAAGTTAAGGGAAATAAAAACATCGAGGGCCATGCGTAGTGCACATATAACATAAGCGTTCAATATTGGTGACTTACGCAATGCGGTTGATTGCGAGATTGATTGACGATACTGTCGCCAGTTGGCTGAGCAACAAGACACATTTCATTATGTCACATAACTATAATGGCACAAGCTATTATAAATATAATACGTTCCAAAAATGCGGCCCCACTGCAAGCAACTTTACATACACTGAGGTCTTACATCATTACACAAATTCAATAGAAGTTTCTCAATATGACGTACTTAGGGCATGAAACATCACTAGAGATTAAACAGTCAGTCAGTTTGCCATCCAAGACTTTTCCACACGTCAATAAGGCTATGCAGTGGGTCCGCGTAGCCTATATTTCATTACATTACATCACTGAGTACAATGGCAGATATTCATGCCTCGTTATGTTAATCGGTATTGCTAGTTAGTTTATATCGTATCACAAGCGATCGTAGGGTATACAATATTATAAAGGGTACTGACCTGAGGATGGAATCGTTGGGCGCGTGTATGGACGCGCGCGGGACTCGCGAAGCGCCGTCGGCTCGATGCACGCGGTGCTTTCTACCCGCGTCTAGGAACGCAAAGTACCCTCTGCGGAGAAAATATTTACTCCTTTTTATACCATTCACTATTTCTGAGATAAGTAGGATAGAAGAAGTGAGCTGTAAGTAAGGCTCACACCTTGGTTTGACGTGAGCGTTAAACGTTTCTATGGACGCCATACGACAACGTTAACGTCTAATGAAGACCAAAGCCTGACAGCCGCTGTGAAACTCCAGTCGTAGACTTCAAGACGCTTACTATGAAGCATCCAAAAGCATCATTTAGAATCTAAAATCTAAATTTTAGATTATGGCAACGTAGAACACAGAGTTCAGTAAATACTGAAAGCCTTGGGTGTTCGAAAATACAATGCTGTTCTCATAAATTTTTCTTCTGTCTTTAAAATCTTTAGTGCTTCAATTAACACGAGAAGTATACCAATACATTTTAAAACCATAGATAAGACAGCTAACCTGAAAAACGCTCGCACAATAGCCCAGCGGAAGACGGCGACGGGGTCCACACCCACTAGTTCCCGAACAAACGCCAGCGAGGAATTTTTCAAAACGCTTACGATGTCCTGCCGCATCAGATCTAAGTTCTTCTCTCGCATCACCGTCACCTGGGAGAATATCATTTGGGCATAAGAAAACTGTACTTTTTAGAAGCACTATAAATACGAAAAATCTAAATTTATAATAATATTATACCATAAAGGTTTGTATATTACGTTATGTTTATAAGTAGCTCGACCACTTTTGATTGCCTGAGAAAAGGACTTACGCCAGTAAAATAGCTACGAAGGAATGTTTGTTAAGGTTGTGTAACACATGTTAGGGATATAAACTTAAGTGTTACATGTTTTTAGTGAGAAACAAAGTGATAAAGATCGCGGTATGTGCAATAAACATTTGAGTGATAGAATGAATTGGACGGAATTTCGTAAAAATATTGGCTACAAACATACTATCTTTTTTTTATGCAGGACAAGGCAGGTATTTGACCACAATCGTACCTGGTTATTATAGTTATTTTAATTACACAATTTATTCTTACCTGATATTTTACCCTGCCAGCATAATGCCGCACCACAAACGCTGGTTCACGCCTCTGAGGTTTCTCGTAAAATGGATTGTCCTCGTGCACAGAGTTGAACTTTTGCAGTAGCGTCTCATTTGTGGCCCACGGGAAACTGAAACAAATATTATGTTTATGTAGACCACTATTGGAGTTGGAGTTAGTCAGAGGCCACAACAACACTATTATACTCAGTAGGCAATCTATACCTGTCAATTATTGTGAATGTGAGGTGTTTAGTTGGAACAGAAATCTTCTAGAGCGGCGAACACGGACCGAAAGACGCAGTCTTCGAATTAGTGCACTCAATGAAGATCACGGGAAGCATTTGACTGCGAACAGCGGAGAACCGGTTGCGTGGAAATCTTTGGGCCTTTGTCCAGCATTGGACCACTCACTTGCACTGCAAGCAGGCAGTCGGTGTTGTCGGAGAAGCCGATGTCGGTCCAGCGGATGCCTCGCGGCGGTGCTCCTGCGCACAGCGTCCACTCACTTGCACTGGTCGTCCAGGACGCACAGCAGGCCGCTGGGCTTGCCCTCGATGAGCTGCAGGCAGCCGGTGTTGTCGGAGAAGCCGATGTCGGTCCAGCGGATGCCTCGCGGCGGTGCTCCTGCGCACAGTGTCCACTCACTTGCACTGGTCGTCCAGGACGCACAGCAGGCCGCTGGGCTTGCCCTCGATGAGCTGCAGGCAGCCGGTGTTGTCGGAGAAGCCGATGTCGGTCCAGCGGATGCCCTCACGACGGTACTCCTCCTGCTCGTACTTGAACACGTGCTGGTTGAAGTAGTACTGCAGGTGCTCGTTGGCGTAGTTGATGCACAACTGCTCGAAACTGTTCGACGGACCGAAGTCCTCGAACCCGAATATGTCGAGGACGCCTGCGAAAAAAGAACGATGTTGATGAGATCCGTACTGCATTTCCACCAGAACCTCGTCGCGGTAAATGAAGCGATTCTAATAATTTTTACAAACACATCCCTTGCTACGCATCCTCGCACACCTCTGGAGGAAACGCAGCCTTACAGAACGTAGCTCTGCCGAACTCGATTATTATTCAAACTGACACCGGGAGCGAAAACGATAAATATAGTCGTAAAACAGCACTTAAGACTATTTGCAAATTCGCCTTTATTACAACTACATAAGATGCCAGTGTTTAACTTGATATGCTTATGTGATTACAACGAAAACTAGACACAAAAATAATAGCAATGTGTTTGTATCGAGTTGAAATGTTCGGGCTTTTTATGTGGTCATGCAGCCTATAAAATAAATGCTTGGACCACTTGGACCCACCTATGCTATGTCCCTGATGCTCCCTTAGCGTGTCCTTTTTTGAGAGCAGCGCGTGGTTGACCTGCATCACGATCCAGTCGAACAGAGCACCGTATAAGCACTTCGCCATCGCATCGCGAGTCGCTATGGCTTCGGGCAATCTGTAAACAAACGGTACAGGCTAAAACGAATCCCTAAATCTAAGCTGGGTTGCACCATCTCACTTTAACTCTAACAAACCTCAAAATGCATCAAACTCCATGCAAAAAACACAGGTTATCGTTAGAGTAGGCGCACACCGTTGATTTTTAGTTGGCCGATAGTTGTGCCCGATTTTAAATTGTATGAAGAATCGGCCAAATCGAATCGGCGTAGTGTGCGCACTCCCATACATGCCCATACTGATCAACTGCCCGACTAAACTATCGGCCGACGAAAAATCAACGGTGTGCGCCTACTCTTATAGTTACGGTTAAAGTTAGGTGGCGCAGCATAAAACTCATATGTAGCATCTTTGTTGCTTATTTATTTAGAAATAAGTTACACGTAATCTAGAGTACAAATATTAACACAATTAATTACCAGTAAACTGTATTTATCATCAATTTCACTAAAATAAACAAGTTATCCTCTAATATTAATAGCTATCATGTTAATAATATTTTGAGGATAAGTAGACTAATTTATCACCTATAGTTAATGACGAGTGTTTCCCCTGAAGCCCGGGCGCGCTTGGACGTAAGCGCCGCTAGAAGGGTCTCCTGTTTCACGTGAAGGAGGGATGATATGAGCGACACCACCTCAGGGTTCCTAACTCCGACCGCCTCGTCGTGATGATATGATTTTCGTTGTGGCTGGAACTCCACGTTACCTGGAATTTTGTTTTGCGAAGGTTACTTTCTGGAACTTTTGAGGCATTTGCCTATCTTTACTATGTATATGGCAATGGCGTCTTACAAAACTTTGGTTCTTGGAGATATCATCATGAAAATGCTATGACCTGACACCTGAACAAAGGAAATAAAATCAAAAATGTTAAATACTGTATTGCTGCTGTGTTGTATGAATAAATAAATTTGCAATAAATAAGTATTTAAATGCAGTCTGAACATTATTTAGGCCCTATTTATGCATATCCTGTCCTGAGTATACATTTCGTTATACTTATGTATTTTTTGTAACATAAATAAACAACATGATACTTATGATTATAATTTATCTAAATTTTTTATTGGAATTCAGATTAGTGATGTATAAAATGTAATTATAATGTTAACCGATAACAATAAATAGTTTAAGTGATAAGATTGAGTAATCATTGGGTAATAAGCAATATCAGGCAGAGAATTACTTCAAAGAATAGTATAACATTCAATGAAGGTTTGTTAAATTCTCATTAAGCCACATCATGACTAGAACTCTTTGGCTCAAAGTTTCAACAAACACAGGAGAATCAGAAAAGTTTTTTGACATGTGACAATAACAATATCAATGCAATAACGAGAATGTAGAATTGATCATGCTTACCTAATAGGAGCACAGCAGATAAAACAGCAAACAGCCTCCGCCGTTTGTCCATGGTGAAGCCCACCATGTCCATTGACTGCTTGAGGCGCGAGAACTCATACTGCTCGTCCACTCCCGGCACTACACTACACCCAGTCCTCGATAAATAATTGTATTTGTCAACACTAAGCAAATGCAACTGTTCCTTCTCTTGCTCCGACGCACCGGCTAATAAATAATAGAACACGTGATAGTTCCTCTCGTTACGGCCCTGACTGCATATTCTAGATTTTTCCAGCAGATATTTTTGTACGACTGCACCGTGGACCATACCGTTTTCCTTGTAATTCACTTGTATAAACTTCCCGAAACGGCTCGAATTGTTGTTATGGGCGGTTTTTGCGTTACCGAACGCTTCCAGCACCGGGCCCGCGCTCAGTATCGTCTGTTCGACGCCGCTGCCGTGCGATCCCTTCTGGCTGAGGGCGGTCAAGTGGTGCAGAAGAAAGTTCGTGCTCTCCGTCTTCCCCGAACCACTTTCCCCACTGATCACTATACACTGATTCGTTCGTTCCCGCAGCATACAGTGGTACGCGGCGTCGGCGACCGCGAAGATGTGAGGCGGAAGACTGGAGCCGATCCTTTTGTTCTGGTACAACTTGACATACTTCGGGTTGTAGATGGGATAGAACTTGAAGGGGTTGAGGGCTATCAGGATGGAGCCGACGTATGTGTAGATGTAGCCGGCCGCGAACCTTGCACGCAAGTTATCCAGCAAGGTCTGCTCATTGAGCTCGGGCAGCTGGCACAGGTCCGGGTACTCGCGGTCCTTCGGCTGATACAGAAACCTCTGGAAGAAGTCCTTGATCAGCTGGGGATCCACCGAAAAGTTCTCCATCCATGGCTCTTCGGGTATTTTTTCGCGAAGGTAGAACCTGAAATAGAAAAGGCACCATTATAAAATTATTCTATTCAATATCACAAGAACGAATACCTTATTATGTGCCGAAATTACTTTTGAGTCATGTTTTGATTCTAAATTTGTTACAAATAGAAATGCAGCAACGATTCCATGTTTGTTGTAAAAGATTTGTTTGAGTTTATAATTGGCAGGATGGGCACACTGTTATCATGGCGCGCCGCGGCAGGAAGACTGACTCATGCGCCCCGTTGGGATATTTTATCCCCAATCGCGACTGGTCCTTCCTTACACACCATAGAGCTACGAAGCTAAATGCATAAAAACAATACAATTGAACAAAAACGTCAACAAAACTGCTTCATAAAAACACAGGATATTATGGTTTATTTACAAATCATGCTATTTTAATCATACTGTTTCAAATTGCCTTTCGTGCATGTTTGTAAAGTACATTTATGGAAATAACATAATTTAATTTGTAGACTGAACTAACATCGTTAATTTTCTATGAGTCATTGAAGGTAAACTGTTTAGATTGTTTACACTGCCGCTATAGTGTTCGCTGTGGCATGCTACAGACAGATTGAACAAATACCAGTCAGCTAATTACAGTTAGTCAGAGGCTAGTGAATATCCAGGCGAGTGGATAAACTAAGCATAAAAACAATTGATTGTATATCAGTTACAGGGCGACGTAATTAGCAGGTGTGTACGCAAGGTTAGACGATCATAACTCGTACACTTCATTGTGGGTCTGAGATAATTATACGCGCTATTATTACGAGATAAGTATTGGTCCAATGTCAAGAGCAAAACGAAACTTTTTGATGGGAACCAACATTGTTAGTGTTAATGTACAAGAATAGAGTGTAAATGACCATTGTAAGTCGACTGATAGAGGCTTTATACACTTTCAGTCTCAAAATTGTGATTAAACCCCTACTAATATTATTAATGCGGAAGTAACTCTGTCTGTCTGTGTCGCTTTCACGCCTAAGTTACTCCAATTTTGATGAAAGGCATAGAGATAGTTTGAGTCCCAGAAAAGGACATAGGATAGTTTTTGTCCCGGTTTTTGAAACAGGGATGCGCGCGATAAACTTCTTTTTGTGACAGACAAAATTTCACGCGGGCGAAGCCGCGGGTGGAAAGCTAGTATGCAATATTTACCTGTAATACTGGCCAGAGTTGTTGTTCGGCCACAGCAGCATGACAGCGACCGGCGATTCATTAGGCCCGAGTCTTCTCTCTTTGCATTCGCCGCTGACCATGTCGCCAACAACCTTCATTTTAAAAATAAAATAAATAAAATGTGTTAGTTTATTTAAAAACACTCTCACATACACTACTCAAAGGGTCTCCCTTAAAATTATACCAACTTCCTGATTTTAATAAACAAATCAAAGTGATCTTGGAATCCCATGAGTCACTAGTTGCATTGTGTAAAAAATGAATTAATGACAAATATCATCCACATGACAGTAGCTGACTAACAGGTCAAGATTTCCGCCGTTACACACAGTGCAATTACTAATTTAGTAGTATACTGAGAAGTATGCACCATTACAATCTAAAAATATGCGAGGCGCGCGCTCGCTCTTTTATCTTGGCGGTCAAGTTGTGTTTTGCTATTTAGTGCTTACTGCTTGTGATAGTTTAATGGAAATATTAAAAAATATTTTAACTATATTTTAAAAGTGCACTATGTAAAACATAATAACTAATTCAAAGGCATTTACTAAAGAATCATCATTTAATCGGATAATAAATAATCAGAGAAACCTCTTGCTTTTCAATCAAGCCTTTAAGCTCCTGTAGTTGTGTGCTAATATAATTAAATTATATTTAATTGTATTCTGTAAAATACTTTGATAATCTTCCATTAGCACTTTATAGACTTTGTACCTAAATAATTTGGATACAAATGAAAAAAACATACCTCGGCCAACTCGTAAGGTCCTCCAGATCCATTGTTCAAGTTTAGCTTATCAGCAATGCAGCTAACTATTTCTTCAGAGCTGGTCTGCTTGGAGGCTTCCACTGATAAAGCTTCATACTGTGCAGAGAGTGCCCCCACAAACACCTAAGGAATTTTATGCAGTAGTTTGAATTTCAATTTGAAATAGAAGAAACAATGCATAGCTTACGGTTATTATGGATTATTACTGCTTACTTTTAAAATAAATAATTAGAAAGGATTGTTACAAAATTGAGTGATCTATTTGGCATTTAGACTAAAGTATGTAAAATATCTTGCAGTCTGCAATTAATAGGGTAAAAAAGATGTCAAGCAACAATTTTCTTTTATACAGCTATCTGAGAGTTATTAAATATCAATGGACATGCGGATGTAGTGAGGTTCATCATCATCATTTCAGCCGTAGGACGTCCACTGCTGAACATAGGCCTCCCCCAATGATTTCCACAATGGCCGGTTGGTGGCGGCCTGCATCCGGCGCCTTCCCACTACCTTTATGAGGTCGTCGGTCCACCTTGTGATGAGTAGTGAGGTTACCGGGTTTATATTTTGATCTTTGTGGTCAAAATATATGACCATGCATCTCTCTCTATGTCAGGCAAAACCATTGACTAACTTGAATGCCTTGAATGACAGACTGTATTTATGTGTGTAATTAACTTTCTTAAGCCTTATTTTTAACAACAATAATTATCAAATCTTGTTATATTTGAAAAAATAAAGTTTCATTTACTTCACCCACCAGCCAAATGTTTCTAGAATATTTTTTGTTGTAGAATATTAAATACATAAGTTGGGTTTAGTACAATTTGAAGCTTCTATTTAATGTGAAAGTAAATTCAATCAATCAATCAATCAAACTGGACTTCATTTTAATTGTGTACTTGATTTATTATATTTTGAAGAGTAATATTTTTCAATACAATAAAAAAGTGAAAGAGAAATTTAAAATTTTACCAATTTGTTTGTACGCAAGTTTTCAAAGATCCGTTATTAAAAGCAAATTGATTTAACATTAAGTGTAATTAAATTATCTAATATGAATGCCACTTTTGTGATAAAACTATTGACAATTATGATAAATGTAGACAAAAGAGGTGAATTAAAGACAAACCTTTAGACCATTCTTTGGAAATTGAGTACTGCATTTATAACATGTTTTAATTTACATATCAACTACTAACCTGCACTATGTATCTGTGATTTTCAGTATGAGCCATTGTATGACATTGTTCCACTTCTTTTTAAATCAATCTTCTATGACTTTATCCACATTCCCTCTTCTCATTATTGACTTCACAAACTCCAATGTGTTATGCATATTCAACTGATTTTTATTTCCTTACTAAAATAGACAAGAAAATAATCAGCATTCCATTTCACTGGTTACATTCACAGCACAATCGTCTACTTGTTATGAGTAAAAGGTTATCTTCTTTTATGTTTAGAGAAGCATACGTGTGTCCAGGCGTAAAACACCTGACCCCCCGTGAGCTTGGCAGGTTGTATTCAACCGTGACATGTTCGTAAAATCTTGGGGAGATAAAAACAAAAATCACTTACAATGGTCGATGAAATAACTCTGCTTCAAATATTGAGTTATTGAAATCAAAACATAAGCTCTGTAGACGAACACAAAGAGGAGAAATCTCAGATTTGGGTCACATGCTGATTGGACAGCCAAGCTTCACTGAAATATTCCAAGCTTTGTCGTTTTCGGCTTAGTTCACGGCCGTCGCGTTATCCGCTTTTATGACCACAATCCAATAGTAGCTGTAAACGCACTTGCTTTAGGCAAAAAACAACACATTAAAATAAACACAAAACTGTAGCGAAATCGGTGTCTTCAACAACCTGTTATTTGCCAAACACAACTCTCGTTATTGCACCTTTTAAACGCACCGAATTACGATCCCAAAAGCTTTGAAACGTACTTTACTCCCTAATTATTGATTACTACGTTTGTAGATTAATTCAATTTAGTAAATGTTCGGAGAAATCTAATCTATTGAACCACCATTTTTATTTGTGTCGAGTTAATCAGTTGAACCGTCGTGTTAAAATCTATATTGAAAGAGACCTTTCAATAGAGGTTCAATGTATGCGGAAACATGGCTTTTCAATTTGGTTGAGTAATAATACCACAGACAAAGATGGACTTTTCAACTATAGACAAGTTTGATAGATATCGAAATAGATCTTGTGTAATAAAATTGCAAAGAAATCATTAAATATACAGCCTTTAGTATTTTTTTGATAAATTTATTAATGCCTTTGCCTTCTCTCAGTATACGCTTTAAAAAATGATTGAGAATCCGGAACCGGAACCCATTGCCAAAGCCCGCGTATTTGTTAGGTCGATTAAAATAAAAAAGTTACATGTTACAGAAAATTTAAATACGCTCGCTATTAGGCCTTTTACATCTTTTAGCCAAGATAAAAGTAAAGTAAATAGATACCAAACAACTATTTATGTGCAAAAATATCGAAGAAGTAGAGACCACAATTTCATTTCTTTAAAAGTTTGGGCTGTACTGACTACAGACTAGACGTGCGCGCCGCGCTACTGTTACCCAGCGGCGGCGCGCCGACCTGTCGGGGTCGGCGTGGTGGCGCCGCGCCGGCGTGGGTATTTTTTTTAATAAAAAAAAATTCTAGCTCTTATCCAGCAGTAGGTACTTATTTGAGTATTTTGAGTTACTAAATTAAAGAAAAATAATTGCGTATGACCGAATGAAAACTTTTATTACCGCTTGAAGCAGTCAGGGTCGACAGCTTCAAGCTGCGACTGCACAGTGAACTGCAGAGTTCTATGGCCGCACATACACGAACCGCTCGAGCAGTTGCAACTGATTCGGGCGGTCGACAGCACGGTGAATTTTCATCGTGCGGTCAAGTCGCCAGCCATACACTGACTGCTCGAGCTGTCGACAGCTCTCGCGCAGTTACCTCCACCCACTTTCTTCATTCCACGGCGCGCGCACTTGTGATTTGTTGAGCAGTTAATACCACCTGCTCGAGCAGTTATCACTGGCAGCTTCAAGCTGTTGAGTCTTGACTGCAAGAGCGGTCCGTGTATGTTGATCACTAACTGCTCGAGCTGTCCGTGTATTGCCGGCCTTAAAGCAATTCAAAGATAAAATGGCGACGGGCGACCGAATGACAGCACGGTGATAAAAAGTTCGCGTCTTTACCCTCCCCGCGCCACGCTCTGCCCCGCCAGCCACACGTTCGTGAACACTCGGTCCAGCTCGGCTGAATTCGATTAATTTGTCGCGCTTCGGCCATCTTCGGCGCGCCGAGAGAATGTCTCGGCGGCGGCGGCGCGTTCCGAAGTCGGCGCGGCGCGGCGGCGCCGGCGCGGCGCGCACGTCTACTACAGACTACTTTATTAAAACTTATGAGGTAATTTATTTTTATTGTTGTATGAATATCTACACTTCTACACTAATATTATAAAGAGGAAAACTTTGTTTGTTTGTTTGNTATTTTAATTACTTAGGTTGGTAGGTACTTACTTATTTGATTTTAATGATAATTACTATAGGTACGTATTAGTAGAAAGAAAGGTCATTGAATGACTAAGTGACTCACTCACTCATCACGAAGTCTCGGAAACTACAAGTCTCAAAAGAGTTCTCATAGGCGTTAATGGTCTATCTATTCCACTTTGATCACCTGGCTTTGATCACCAAGATGATCAAAGTGGACTCCAAATGACTTTTTTAGTGTTCTTTGATCACCTATAAATAAATCATACCTCTGAATTGTCACATACATGTCCAATTTGTTTATTGCGGTTTTTAGAAAATATCAAAAATGTTACAAAACAAAATATTATGTAGTACAACAATTGGACATGTGACTATTCAGAGGAGGTGTGATTTGTTTGCAGATGATCAAAGGACACTAAAATAATAATTTAACTAGAGTCTACTTGGCTCACCCAGGACATCGTATCCGTGGCTGATCAAAGGCACAGAACAAATTCAAAAGACACTAAATTGTCGCTGTAAGTCCACTGGCTTTGATCAGCCAGGTGATCAAAGTGGAATATACCTCCTTTTAGAACGTAGGTAGTCTCTAAGACGAAATTTTGCAAAATTAAACCCTTATGGGAGTTAAAAAGGGGGTTAGAAGTTTGTATTGCAGTCCTCGGTTTTTAAAGTAAGAGACTTGAAAGTTAAAATGTATGCTCACTATGATCTCTAGATATTGTGGAGGTGTACATATACTGTTCGGTATACTTTGGTACTGTGTACACATAGGTTTGCCGACGATTGTCGTCATGCCAGAATCGTTGGAAGATCTTGGCACAATGCTCGAAGACCTTAATCGATTTTCCCAACAGGTAGGCCTGAGGATGAACATGGACAAAACGAAGCTAATGTCGAATGTCCATGTTGCGCCCTACCCAGTTTCAGTTGGGAGCTCAATTCTCGAGATTGTCGACAAGTAGGTATGTCTACCTCGGACAAACGATCCAGCTAGGTAGGTCCAATTTCGAGTAGGAGGTCAATCGTCGAATCCAACTCGGCTGGGCAGCGTTCGGGAAACTACGCAACATCTTTTCGTCCAAAATACCTCAATGCCTTAAGACTAGAGTGTATAACCAATGTGTGTTACCAGTGATAACTTATGGCTCGGAAACGTGGCCTCTCACTATAGGCCTTATACAGAAGCTCAGTTGCACAGCGTGCTATGGAGAGGGCTATGCTTGGTGTTTCTTTGCGAGATCGAATCAGAAATGAGGAGATCCGTAAACGAAGCAAAGTCGCTGACATAGCCCGACGGATTAGCAAGCTGAAGTGGCAATGGGCAGGGCACATAGTACGCCGAACTGATGGCCGATGGCGCAGAATGGTTCTGGAATGGAGGCCGCGTACCGGAAAACGTAGCGTGTGACTTCCACCTACAAGGTGGACCGACGACATCGTAAAGGGAAGCGCTGGACGCAGGCCGCTTCCAATCGATCAACATGGAAAGCATTGGGGGAGGCCTATGTTCAGCAGTGGACGTCCTATGGCTGAAATGGTGGTGGTGGTGGTGGTGGTGGTACATATACTGAAAATGTATCATTAGAAATCAACTACGGGGGCTAAGGAGATAAAAGGAGGGTTGGAAGTTTATATTATGAAAGTCCTATGTGTTTAAAGTAAGAGAGTTGAAATTTAAAATGTATGCGCTCTAGATGCTAAGAGCGGATTTTACGAAACTCCACCCCTAATGGAGTAAAACGAGGTCCACGCGTACGAAGTCGCGGGCGGCCGCTAGTTGTACATAAAACTTTAGTTCTTAGCAACTGATTATTCTTATGCCTAAGATTGTTTAATTGTTAAGGACAGAACAGTTCTTCTGGAAAATTATTATGAGTACCTATGAATGGAACTGATACTGATTGAACGGTATTATGATTTTCATTTTATTTGTATAGCTCAAAGTCATCGCCATTCCTACTCAATGACATAAAACTTTTCTTTAAAGACTAAACTAAACTTAGAGGGCATGCGATTGGTTAATTACTTACATCAAGCTAAGGGAGAGGGAAAGTTTAGCGTTTTCGGCGCGTCCCGGGCGGCCTTTGTGACTGAAAAGTTCCTTTTCTTGAAATTTCAGGATTCTACATGGTCAGGAACCAACCTAAAGCTTTATTTATTTTCTTTATTTTTTTTTGTAACCGACAAAAATTAATAACAATGCCACAACTCTACTCACCTCTCACAATTCTACTAGTATTGATCTGATGTCTAAAAAATTTAGCTGCAGTAAGTAAAAAGAACGTAATACATAGTAGTATCCAGTTCATTAGCAGCATTGTGATTGGTCTATACAAAGCTGTACCTAATAATAACACCAACATAAAGTATTATTTGAGAAATTAAAAGGAAGGAAGATTACCTAGGCTCACTACCTTAGGCATGAAAAATAAAGTTCGAAAGTTGATCTATTAACTATATTTAATTAACATTTAAAACATAAATAGGTAAGTAATAATTTTCCTTTTCTGGAGATTCCATAAACATTCAAAACATCTCTTAATTAGTAATTTTTGATAAAGATACATAGCCTAACCATAAAATTGTTCAAACTTTTGCACTGCACTTTAACGATTGGAATCACAGTAGGCGCCTTGATCGATGAGCAATTTGCGCGTGCGTCGCGGCTGCGCGGCGCGCGGCGGCGGCGGCCCGGCGCGCGTGCACTCGCCCGTGCTTGGCGAGGTGGTCGGAGCGCGCGAACCGCTTGCCGCACTCCCGGCATGCATACGGCTTATCTCCCGAGTGGCTCCGGCGGTGGCGCGCCAGCTCATCCGACCGCGCGAACCTCCACTCGCAATCTGCCCACGTACACCTATAAGGCTTTTCCCCACTGTGTCGGCGAAGGTGAGCCCGCACGTGCGAAGCCTTAGCATACAACTTCCCGCACTCCTCCACCGGACACCGGAACGCACCCAGCTCCGTCACGAACTCTGGCTCGCCCCACGATCGCACCTTCATATTCACTCTTTCTATATCCTCGGCGATGCAACCTTTCTTGTCCCAATCCCTCCGTGACGTCACGGTGTAGTCGTGCGTATCCAGCACACATGATCTTTGAACATGATCACTGGACTCCACCGTCTCTGATCCGGAGTGCGGCGTATCATTCGACAGGTCGCTGCTAAAAGCTTCCAGTAAGTACTCATCTATCACACTGTTATCTAAATCCGAGAAGTCGAATCCTGGTGAACTGTCCGTTAAGGTAAAATCGTCTTTGTTTACATCGCTAATATCACTGACGAAGGCATCACAATGTAAGTCCAGATCACTGAGTTGCCAGTCCAGGTTTTCAGATTCGATAGACGGCAGGTCGAAGTAGACGAGGCTCTCCGCCGGCGAGTAGTCGTACAAGAGTCTGTCGTTCAGCAGAGCGTCCTCGTGGACCGGGCCGCTGCCTTCGTAGTACATCGTAATTCTGAAATGACCACATAAAAATTAATCCAAATTCTATCGGCAATATCACATCGTGAACACAAGAGTAGCGTAAGAGGTCAAAGTGAATTATACTTACGAG